CACACACACAGAGACGTTCTACGAACAAACCATCCTGCAGAACAAAGGTTCCCTCATTAGTGCAGAGCTAGCAGAACAAGTCTATACAGGTTCAGGATTAGGTCTGTAGTGGTTTCATCTGTTTCTCACCTCCAAACTAGTTTCAATACATTCCAGGTTTCATACTGAAGACGACAAGCTGAGATTCAGGTCGACTTTCAGGGAGAACATTAGATATCTGACATCTGAAACCACATCCTGTTCACACTAAATTAAATCAACACCAAGATTCTCAAATTACGAAAGTTTATTTTCAGTCAAGTGCAATCTCTCACTAAACTGTGCAAATCTGCCATTTTTACAGGTCTGGTTCACTAAGAAACACTATGTGTAGCACCAAAATTTTATTCAACTCCAATCACGTCATTATACAGAAAACTATTATTCATAGCCCCACCCACCTCAGCTTGGGACCGCCCACAGGAAGGGGAGAGCAGAGCACGCCTTGGCTAACAGAAGCTAACCGTTAGCAACACTAAGATAAATCATCACCATTGCATTTTTACGCAAGGAGGGAGAACAAACGAAGGCAGCAGAAGAGTTACATTGCCAGCATCTCCTCTACGTGGGCTCAGGTGTGGCGCTGCGTCATGGCTGTGACACCCCCCACCCCCCAGCTGTCACGGGAGTAGCATGGTAGCAAAACGGTCCATGGATTAACCCCCTTCCCCGCCACGGATGGAAACACTTCTAGGGTAAACACTCTGTTTCTTTTTGTTCATAAAGCGCTTTACCACCACGGGTCACAATGGTTCAAAGTGCTGGACACGGGCAAAAATACGACCGAATGTTACAACAGATAAAACTCTCAATAAATAAGATTGATAAAAGAATATACCAGATAAAAATGAAAAATCCTAAAGAATAAAAAAATGAGCTTGATACGGTGGCATGGTAACTAGTCCACATAACACTCTAGAAAGCAGACCAGGGTCCAACAATGCAAAAATATAAAATAAAAAAGAAATCAGCAAATCAGGGGCCACACTTTTGCATATCATGAATATTAACAAGTAAATGGTAAATGGCGTGTATTTATTTAGCGCCTTCTTAGGGTTCAACAACCCCCCAAGGCGCTTCACAACACAGTCAGTCATTCACACGCTGGTGGTGATGCAGCCACAGCTGCCCTGGGGCGCGCTGACAGAGGCAAGGTGGCCGAATGCAGGCACCACCGGTGCCCCGGACCACCACCAGCAGGCAGGGTGGGTTCAGTGTCTTGCCCAAGGACATAACAGCAGCTAGGGATGTAAGAAAATATCGATATCCAATCCAATCCAATCCAATTTTATTTATAAAGCGCATTCACAAGGCATTACAACCAAACAAGGCGCTATACACTAAAAATGTTGGTTAATTAAACAGGCGTTATATAAACATGTCGAACACAGATAAAAGATAAAAAGGAAATACAAGAAAATTCCCAAAAATAACAGCTAAAAATCATTAAGACACAGGGTGAAGTAAAAATAGGAAAAAACATTTTACAAAGAACCTCAATAATACGGAAGTCGATAATTGTGGAGTCAGTTTTTAAACAATGCAGATGTCAGTGAGGTTCATAATTATGTTGTATAAGCTAGGTTGAAGTAGTGAGTTTTCAGGCGTGATTTAAAAATGCTAGCTGTTGGTGCTAGCCTCACTAGCAGTGGTAATGCGTTCCACAGCTTCGGTGCACAGACAGAGAAAGCCCTCTCTCCACGGCTTTTTAAACGTGCATTGGGAACAACTAGGAGGAGCTTATCTTCAGACCTGAGAGCACGCGGCGGGTTGTAGTAATGGACAAGTTCACACAGATATGGAGGAGCTTGATGGTTCAAGGATTTGTAAGTGAGAAGCATAATTTTTGGCACATATATTAGGGCTGAACGATTTTAGGAAAAGATTGAATTGCGATTTCAGTTCAATTCACGATTTTCTTCAAACAAAGGTCCAACACTAGCCTGCCAAGCTATCCTGTAACCTAGCACAACAAATCATTCACATTAATATTTACTATCTACTAATACAATAAAAACAGTTAAAGCTGTTAATGTTTTCTCCCATTATTATCTATTTTTATGTGCTTGTGTTTTTTATCTAGAGAGGTGCTTTAAAAAAAAACATGTTCTTGTTCTACTCCGGAAATGCAAAGAGGACATCTGAAGGTAGAAACAGCTTTCATGCGTATTAATGCAGTTTCCCCTGCAGCACCAAGGCAGGCTGGCTGCACTTTTCTAACCATTTTTAAGAGAAGTTGAACTTTCCAGTAAGGATGCATACAGATACTTGGATCTGAGTACTCACCGATAACGATTGCCGATACTTCTACCACACACAAAAAATGCAATGATTTAGAACACAGATTTTATTTTCTTCTCTGCTTTCAACAGGAAAAGACTGTGAGGTAGATAAAAAGTAAAATATATGAATAGAGATCATCACAAAACTCAATTATTAGGTGAACAGAAATGACAAGTTGCAGTGAAGCCATTCATGGTATCAGTCGGTTCCTGGTATCGGTTAACTTTTACCGATAGTGGAATCGGTATTGGTGCATCCCTACTTTCAAGTCAACTAAAGTGCGTGACTCCGCACTCATGGATGCTTTCTTAAAAAGAGCAGATTATGATTGTAAGAGATTTAATCCATGAATGCAGCTGGCTTCCTCTCCTCCTACGCGGGTGTGACCTGGTCTTGGTCACACATGAAAGTACAACCAACCACATGTAAAATGGGTTTGACTTCTCTGACCAGAAGTAAAAAGTTATAATAAAAATTAATCTGAAGGAAATCTGATTACTCTAAATTCTGTTGGGTAGATGCAGAGAAAAAATAAATCAAATGACAAACTACAAATCGGTGCAAAAAAAATGGTGAAAACTTTCATCTCAATAAATTTGAATACTGAGTTTACATTGAAGTCCAACATCGTGATGCAAAACTCACAACCAGCCACGTCCTGCAGAGGGCCGGAGTGAAACTCGACCCTTTGGTCCATAAAACATAAAAACTGACTTCCTGCGTCTCGTTTCATAACCTCCCTCCAAAACCGCCTGATAACATGTTATATCACAGGAATCCACGGAAATATAACAGCCTGTCTGAAGGCTTCCACTTAGTACCCGGTGTGCTTTCACAGCTCAGTCAGAAAACTCACAGCCAGGTCTTAGACCTGAGGAGGTCAGAGGTCAACATGCGCAGAATATTAAACCCATGTTTAAGAATGATACGTGCAGTTATTGGACTTCTGTGCAAGCCGCAGTTTGGCCACAACGAACACCATGTTCGAACATAAGGACGCCCATCGGTACACTTGGTACCAGGGCAGCCTAGGTCGCAGGTCGATGGTAGACTTTGTAGTCGTATCATCTGACCTGCGGCCGAATGTTTTGGACACCCGAGTGAAGAGAGGAGCGGAGCTGTCAACTGATCACCACCTGGTGGTGAGTTGGATCAGATGGCAGGGGACGATGCCGCGTAGACCTGGCAGACCCAAACGCATAGTGAGGGTCTGCTGGGAACGTCTGGCAGAAGAACCTGTCAAGACGGTCTTCAACTCCCACCTCCAGCAGAGCTTTGACCACGTCCCGAGAGCAGTGGGGGACATTTACTCCGAGTGGGCCTTGTTCCACTCTGCGATTGTTGAGGCGGCTGTTGCTAGCTGTGGTCGCAAGGTGGCTGGTGCCAGTCATGGTGGCAACCCCCGTACCCACTGGTGGACACCAGAGGTTCGGGGAGCCATCAGGCTGAAGAAGGAGGCCTACAGGGCGTGGCTGGTCTGTGGGTCTCTGGAGGCAGCAGACACGCACCGGATAGCCAAGTGGGGTGCAGCAGTGGCAGTTGCCGAGGCAAAATCTCGGGCGTGGGAGGAGTTTGGTGAGGCCATGGAGAAAGACTATCGATCGGCTCCAAAGAGGTTCTGGCAAACTGCCTCCTGGACGCCTCCCTGGGGAGGTGTTTCAGGCATGACCTGCCGGCAGGAGGCCCCCGGGTCGACCCAGGACACGTTGGAGAGGTTACATCTCCAATCTGGTCCGGGAACGCCTTGGGGTCCTGCGGGAGGAGCTGGTGGAGGTGGCCGGGGAGAGGACGGTCTGGAGCTCCCTAGTTGGGATGCTGCCCCTGTGACCTGGACCCGGATAAGCGGAGGAAGACGACGACGACGACATGCAGCTTTCTGCTCCGCTTCTGGACAAAAACAGCTGTTTCTGAAGGAGCTAAGCCAAAGAAATGGACATTTTCTGGGTTTTGTTCTACGAGGAATCAGAAAATATATTTTCATACTTTAAATTAACAGAGGAAACTTTCATCGGTCTTGAATAAACCAAATAAAAGCTTCCCAGAATTCCTCAAACTGATTATTTCTGTCTCACGATAGAAGAAGCATTCCTCCTAAGCAGAAGTCAACTCCTCAGCATCTGAGGAAGCTCCTGACATCCAGACACATCCAGAACACCTACACAGCTGCAGGTGAGGAGAGGTAGGATCAATAGTTTATATAACCAGAACAGGAGGGGATGTGATTGTTTAGCATGAAAAGATCACCTGATCATCAGGCTCTGGGTTTGATAGGAAACTCAAATTAAAGAAGATAAAGTAACCTATTAGAGGGTAAAAATATTCTTAATAAACAGGAAACAAGTTTTATAAGGATGTGTCTCAACATTTAATCCTTATGAGACTGTTAAAGCTGAATGTCCAAATTAATTTACAGATTAACTGTTTTGTTAAAACAAGATAAAAGGATCAAATTGTTCTGTTCTAAGTTCATTTTATGCTCATTTCTTACATTTTAATCAGGAGAAACGTTCATTAAATGTGATTTTACTGTTGTTTTTATTAGTATTTAGATTCTGGACCAAACGCAAACAGCTGAAGTTCAAATATAAGGAGATAATGTGAGAAAACAGTCAAAAAGAAACATTTGCAGTCCTAATTTTGCCTTAATGAGCGAACTTTAGCGTTTATCTCTACTCCACCTGGTTGTACAGAGCCTCTCCGCCTCCCGCTGCTCCTCCCGCTCCGGTACCGAGCTCCGGTAACTTCCTCCGACTCAGCACCAGCAGGTAAACCAGCGCTCCCAGCCACACCAGCACCGCCACGGCCACCGCCAGCTTCCGACAGAGACGCTTCATTTTCCGGTCCGGAGGAGCCGGCGGCGCCCGCAGCCCGGCTGCTGCTGCTGTCAGAAACCCATTTGTCCTTTTTACCGGAAACAAAAACCCAAATAAAAGAAGGTGCGCGAGCTGCCAGGTTCCTCCAAGCGCGCGCTGCCTCAGAACTTGGTGATCGCGCGCGCCTCAGACACGCCTGACGGCGACGGCGCAGCGCACGTGCGCAGAGTGTTGTCGCTGGCTGAGGTAGTCCAGGACACTCTTGGATGGTGCAGCTCCACCTGCTGGGTTCTGGGTCCGGACCGGGACAGGTCAGGAGGAGAGAGAGTCACTTCCGGTGCACGTGGTCTAAGTTTAGGGTCCCACGCTTGCAGGATTTGAACATAAATAAAACCACAACTTTAACTGGAGAAACCTCTGCTGAATATAAAAATGGAACCACCTTTGAAAAATCACACAAGTCAAATAATTCCCACTTCCTCTTTTATCTAGCTGACAAATCCTAAAGCATTCCCGAGCCAGAAGGTTCTGGAAGTGGGCTGGAGGATGACATTCCCTGCCTGTTCTCGGAAAACCTCAGCTGAATCTTTTTGATGAGGAGGAGCAGTGGCTCTACTCCTGATGATGAGGATGATGATGACGCTCCTCCTCACCTGTGAGGATAAACCTGTCCACCTCAGAGAGGAAAATGCCTTCAGTCGTGATCCAGATCAGGATCAGGGAAGTCATTCCTACATCCATATCCAGTAAAACTGGGAATAAACTGTTTTCCTGCAGGAATGAGTTTGATATTTAAAACAACTTATTAAGATTTCACTGTCTCTGCTGTTCAGATGACTGTGTTCATCTTTTATTTAGTTGTTCTTTTATGACAGCTCGTTTGTTTTCTAACGGAAGAACATCAGCAGGTTTTCCCAACATTCAGAATTCCTTTTACCTTCAGGATCAAGATGCTTACCTGAGCCACCGCAGGTGTATCGGACAGGTGGGATCTTATTCTCACAGGGCCAGAATAAGAATGAGAACCAAAATCTAGAGAAACGATTCTCCAACAACAGACGAGGTGGGAAAACATCTGAGACAAAAGAGATCAACGGAGAAAAAAAAGGTTTTCATTTTACAGCAGAAACAAAAAGAAAAGCAGCTTTTCCACATTTTGTTTTGATAAATGATCCCACTGAGAGCACATCTGTGTCTGAGATTGTGAAGAAAACACGTAGCAAATAATTAAACTTGTTGTCTTGCTCCGCCATCTAGTGTTCATCACGAGTAACAGCCGGTAACAGCACGGGCACTGCTACTATAAGCAACAAAAATAACCTCTAAAACGTTTTGGACACGAGATCATTTTAATCCAACTAAAGCTGATAAAAGAAGAGTTTGTGGGAATATTTTTGGTTTATGATGAAAATAAAAGAAACTAAAGTGGAAACAACATGTTTGCATCTATTTTATTATCATAAATAACTCCAAATAGGTTATTTTGTTCCCATTGTTGGTAAAAACCAAACTGTCAGATGGTTCTGTTAAATTAATCTGAGATCATTCAGCTTAAAGAAAACATAATCTGTCAGATTAGGTTCAGCAATCGTTGAAGCACAAACAAGCACAGACTCCACGATGAAGTAGTCCAGAGACAGATGTGGGTTTTAGTTTGTCGATACCGTCTCCAACATGCGGTCACGATCAGCCTACAGGTGCTGCTGATGGTTTTGGGCCCAACATTCATGACTTTGTTTTTCAACTCGTTTGCGTGCTAAACGTCACTAATAACAGACAATGCACATTTGCCTTCTGCTTGTTGTTGGGTATTGTTTACTTCAGGTTGACGAAAAGGTCATTTCAGGTCACAATGGCCACCTTTATGCACCGTTGACTTTGACGTTAGCTCCATCCAGGGGTGGACTGGGACCAAAATTCGGCCGTGGCATTTTTACGAATCGTCGGCCCTCCCCATTGGGAGAGCAGTGGGGGTGTTGCCGCCCGCGGACTCATCTCTATACCAAATGTGAGATCTAATATGGACTGGGGCTGTTAAATTACAAGCAGGGCCAGACCGCTGCGACCGGGAGCCCTAGCCTTCTAGATCAGCTCATTCTCCACGGGCAGAGATCAGCGGGACATTAGCTACATGCTAACACGGTAAAACAACTCCTACGTCATCGCTCTACCGCATTTTTCTTGCTAAAAACGCCTGGAAAAACTCTGTTAGCTTCAGGTTACCATGTAGCTAACGTTCTGCAGATCACCTACTATGGAAGAAGAAGAAGAAAGTATCATTTCTATAGCACCTCTCAAGATAAAAATCACGAGGCGCTTCACAAAAGCAAAAAATGTAAAAATAAAAAAACATTTAGAAAATTTTTAAAAATATATTTAAAATGAGCAAAAATAGGCAATTGTGATTTAAAAAAATTTTAAGAAAGAGAGAGCGTGAACAGGAAAGAGGGAAATCAGTGGATCCTGAGGAAGTTGGAATAGGTGGGGAGAGCAGAATAGAGTGGTGAAGAAGGTCATACAAAAGCCAGCTTGAACAAGTGAGTCTTCAGCTGCTTTTTAAAGGAGTCCATCCAGGCTTTGATAGAGTCTAAGCAGGTGTGTAACAGCTGCAGCTTAGACATCTCATGGGGCTTAAAGGAGATGTACAGTTGGATGTCATCTGCATAAAGATGGTAGGAGATTCCTTTGAAGGAGCTCAGGATGTGCTGAAGAGGAAGCAGATAGAGGAGGAAGAGCAGAGGCCCCAGCACAGAACCTTGTGGGACACCATGGGTAAAGGAGGTGGTGGAGGACCTAAACTTGGAGACGGCCACAGAAAAGGAGCGCTCAGAAAGATAAGAGGAGAACCACTCCAGAGCAGTTCCTGATAGGCCTATAGTCTCTCAGCCTCTCCAGTAGCAGGTGATGGTCAACAGTGTCAAAGGCTGCCGTCAGGTCCAACAGGACCAGAACCAGAACCCTGCATCCCTGTGAGTCAGAAGGTCATTAGAGACCCTAAGAAGAGCTGTTTCAGTAGAATGAGCTCTACGAAACCCTGACTGTAAGCAATCATAGATGTTATGTTCATCAAGAGCAGTTGTGAGTTGTTTAGCCGCAGCCTTTTCCAAGATCTTGGAGATGAACGGAAGTTTAGAGATGGGTCTGAAGCTGCTATGGAGAGAGGGGTCAAGACTCGGTTTTTTAAGAAGCGGGTGGATTACAGCGTTCTTAAAGTAAGCAGGGACCTGACCAGAAACCAGAGAAGCATTAATTATAGAGAGCACGCTGGGACCGATGGACTGAAAAGCACTTTTAAACAAAGATGAGGGTAAGATGTGGAGGGGGCATGCAGAGGTCTTCATAGAGTTAACTAGTTTGGTTAACTCAGGCAAAGAAACAGGAGCAAAGCTATCTAGGATAATGGGCCTGTTGGAGTCGGGATAGGCGACGATAAGGCTGAAGGAGAGATGCTAGATCTAACCTTATTGGAGTGGAGTAGTGTCGGCCCAAGCTGGGCAAGCAATCTCCATCTTCCAGAGATTTCTACCTGTTGCTCAACAAATTCTTGATGATGAACAACCAGCCTTTCTTCTAGAGATTGTTTACTTGGATACCACTTACCTGTCCTCTTCACCACCTTGACGGAGGGGACCACTAACAACCCATCCATGACACGTTAGCCCAGCTAGGCCCACCACCATCACGGTAAGTCTGAAAGCTTCCAGTGCTTTGGGAGAATTTACACCAAAAGCGTCCCTAGAAGCATTGTTTGGGATCAACTCATCATCTTTTAATATTCCGACTCACCGTATCTTCTCATCCCGACTAAGTTTTGCATTTGCTCATGGTCCGCGGGCCTTCTGTGTCCTTTTCCAGTTCCTTCAACTTCCAATGATCCAGTCACCTGATCTTCTCTATCGCCAATCTCCATGATGTAAACATCCAAACAAACACACTCTTTATGACCAAAGTGTGTCATTTTTGTTCCAAAAGAAAATCCAATAATCCAAGCAGGAAAAGGCCGTGGGTGTGGTCGCCCATGTGAAACTTATGTCGATGATGTGAACACACTTTCCCACTCCATTCCTTCAAAAACAGCACACGCTGTTTGTTTCTCCTAGAATTAAATTCCAAGAGTTCATTTCTTACCTTATAAGTATATAAAGGTTAACCGACCCCTGCGACTTTCGGATCCACCAAGACGGTCTCTCCAAAACGGGTGAAGTAGACATGACAGATTGCGTCTGATGTTCTTCTGATGATAACAACTTTATAGCTTAGAGCAAACCAAATTCTTTTCACCGGAACTAATTAGTCATGTTTTAAATTGTTTGTAAAATAAATTTTCTTTTATAAACCTGACTCTTTCTTGAAGTAACGAGTGTGGTTGATCACTGAAAAAGCAAAGAACCTAGATCTTCTGAATTAAATCCTAGAATATTTTGAATAATTACAATAAAGACCTAGCAGGTAAATATTTTATATTTATATAGAATATTACATATTCCTGGTCATAACAAATAAAAATCATCGATTTGCTTATGCTACAGCATGCACAATATGCATATCACAATAAATGGTCAGCTCAAATGTTTGCTACACATAATGCATTCTCTCAATCAAACAGAAGCATGATGTTTTTAACAAATCAAATAGAGCTCTTCACCCATTTGGCCAATTGGGTGGGTTCTCATAGGTTGGAGTCACGCCCCCGAGGCGGACGGCACATTTAGATGGTTAGCAAACACCTGAGCTAGCTTAGTTCTGCTCTTTTTGCTGATTCTGCTTTTCCTGGGATCCACTGATTGCCTTTTCTTGTTCATTTTCTTTTTCCCTTTCCTCACATCTTTAGCTTTTCTCATTTTTTAATTTTTTTGTTTTTCATTATTTTTGTTCCTGAATTAAGTTTTTATTTATCGCAAGTAATATCGTCATCACAGTACTAATCACTTTATCGAATATTGCAGGTTTTCCTAAGATCGTGCAGCTCTAGTATGGAACTTTTTAAAATTTAAAATACACAGTAAAACTATTTCTCTGTAAAATTACAACAAATGAGGTGACCTCCTGGTGACCCAAGCCAAAGCAGTTGTCAAACTCTAATGACATTTTTGCTGATGTATTTTAGGTTGTAAAAATTCAAATACATAAATTGACAGAATAAAAATTCTATGTCTAAAAGGGTCATACTCTGGTCAGACCAGTAAGTTCCCAAAGCAATGCTAACTGTTCCAACCATGAATTCAGTTACTGATTACTCCAGGATTAGTCAACCAGTAGTGTGTGAAGGCGTGAGTGACTATGTTGTGAAGCGCCTTGGGGGGATATAGAACCCTAAAAAGGCGCTATACAAATACAGACCATTTACCGTCTAGAAGATCTCAAAAACAAATGGCCAGATTAAATGCCTGAATCCATCTAGATTATTTCTTTGACTCAAGAAATTTGGGTTTTATCCTTGACAGCTGTTTTAAATTTGAGAAACAAATTAGTAGTTATTCAAAATGTGTTTTTCATTTGAAATTGCTTAGCAAGGTTAAAGCGTATACTTGCCAAAGAAAGACTTTGAGAATTATTCATTTGCCCATTATGTCTATATTAGATTACTGCAACTCTCTATTATGGTCTTGCCAAGTCTTCACCTACAGGTTGCACAGAAGGCATCTGCTTGTCTGTCAGGGAGGAAACGCAGAGAGCATATTACTCCAGTCCTCCTCTGGCTCCAAGTATACAGGATAACATTTTAAATGTTATATTTTAAAGCCTTAAATGGTTTGGCGCCTTCTTATTTGGCTGAGCTTATTATTCACACTCCCTTGAGATCCTCATCTAAACGTCTCCTGCGAGTTCTGCTATCAAGGCTGAAGTCTAGAGGGGATAGAGCGTTTTCTACAGCCGCCCCAACACTGGAATAGCTTACCACTGATGATCCTTCTGTTTGTAGTTTTAAAATCTCTAAATTTTAAACACACTTTTTTACTCTCGCTTTTAATAGATTTTTATGTATTTTCCTCTTTTTGTTGTGTTGTTGCGGTTTTTGTTTGTTTGCTGATGTACACTTTGGGCAATCTTTGTATTGCATGTGCTTTAGAAGTAAACTTGACATTGAGTTCACCACAGCCACTGGGTGGCGCTGTAAACAGTTTAATGGTGACTCAGAAGTTCACCATCAACCCCAAACACAGATTATATTATTAATGTTTAAAATCGACTCTAGATATTTGATTACATTTAGAAAGATTAATTAAAATTTAGAAGAAGGTAAAAATTATGTCAACATTAATCTGTTTTTGGCGGCCGACGACCCAGATCCAAAAACGTCTGGATTATCCACACGCGTGTTTCAGCGTCACAAAACAATTCAGACAGAAAATCTAAGCTATTAAAACTTTATCAGCTTTGTAAATAAATGAATGAATGAATATAACTGACAGAAATGTATACGATGCACATGAACTAATCTTAATGTCTTTGTTCACCTCAGAATATATTTCACAGGCATTACTCTGGTTCTTCACAGTAAAGAACTTGTTTTAAAGTCAATAATCTTATAAAATAACCTCTAATCTGGGATTATCTGTTGTCGTTACTAATATTTAACATTAAACACCTAAACCCAAACGTTACAGAAATAAACTGAGACAGACACACGTCCAACATCCTCTAATCCAGTTTAATTTCCTCGGCAGAAAATGGAACACGATAAAATTAAAAGAAGGGAAAAAAGACAGAATTATGTTCTTGCTTTATACACTGAACTAAATATGTCACGCTACGCTAGGGTGTAAGTAACTCAAACTGATATAAGGTTAAATAAAGTTTCCTTCAAAAAGGGACAGAAAGGTATTCAGTTTGTTTCTCGTTAGCACTCAGAAAAAACAACAGAAGAAGAAACCACAGCACTCCTCCACTCTGCTGCGTCTCCAGGAGGAGGAACCGGAACGTGTGCATGAGGATTAGCATAGTAAAGTGGTGCTTTATGGAGTTACTCTTTTTCTCCAGATGGGAAAACAACAACGTAGAGCTGAACCCCAGACCCGTTCTGAACGGGTCGCAGCGTCACGCCGCCGCTGAGCATCCAAACCAATCAGGAAGAAGACTTTAGCTGTGTCACAAAAAAAATAAACCCTAGATGCAAGAAACTGAACAATATGCACAGAGTCCGAGCAGTCAGACTGCGTAGGCCAATGGAGGTCAGAGGTCAGGACCGCTACAGGGAGGGGGGAGGTGATCCGGATCTGGGATGTTCAAACAGGAACAGACTGTAGAGGCAGGGAAAGGTCGGAACGTTCGCCCAAATATAATAAAACTATGAATTCTTACCTCGCTAAAGTCACAAAAATGAAAACGGTTCCACATTTACCAGCTTTTGGCTTCGTTTTAAACTCCTAACCAACACCACAGATTTCAATCAGCCGTTTGTTGAATTTGTGTCTTCAGGATCCAAGCTGAACGTTTTAGTGAAGGCCACTTGCTGTAACACAGGAACAAAGCGTGAGGAACCACGGACGCTCCCGGTAAACGAACGTGGGAGAGGATCTGCGAGAGAGGATGGGTCTGAGGGGCTCAGTAGTGTTTTTGTCGTGGAGTCACCGGTTGGTGGGGATCGGCTGGATCGTCCTCCACGGCGTCGTGGTCCAACAGAACAGCGGAGCTGATCATCAGGGTCACAAGGAAACCAAAAGAACCACGACTGCATCCGTGTTCCAGACCAGGAACGCTGCGGTGGGAGTAGACGTCAGCGGAACAAAAACTAACAGAGAGGAAGAGGAGGGCGGGGTTACGGGTTTGATCCTCCAAACCCTCTCCTGATGGAGTTCCTGAGCAGCAGCTGAGGGGTGGAGCTGGACTCCGCCCCACGACCGCCAGATGATGGAGAAAGGAAGAATAAGCAAAAGGTGTAGGGAAAAAAGTCCGGATTCCTCCTGTGACGGACAAAGACACGGATCGTGATGGGCGCTGTGACCGGATCCGACTCTTCCTCTGAAGGGGGCGGGGTTAAGGCTGTGTGTGTGTACATGCGATACTGACTGCAACCCCAGGGGACAGCCATTGCGCCCCCTAGTGGCAGAGTCTCAACAGACGCTCCGGGAAAGAAACCAGGACTTCAGAGTGGCGACGAGCTCAGATCCGGAATCATTGGGTCAGATGCAGGATTTGACAACCAGAACCCCCCTCCCCCCCTCCCTTAATCCTTGTTTGACTCCACCCACCCACCCCTCCCTCCCTCTTCCTCCCACCCATCACCCCCCACCCATTTTTCCACTTCCTCCTCCTCTTTAAGTGCCTCATTTCTTCCAGGATGGCGGGTCGCCGTGTGGCTGATCAGGAGCACTCCTCCCCGATGCGTTGGCACGAGCGGCCCACCTTGCGGTCCAGCTTCACCATCTTGAGGACGGCCTCCTCGCGTCCGCGGCCCAGATGGTCGAACAGGCAGTCGTGCTGCTCAGGTAGACGGTGCAGCATGCAGAAGACGTAGCCTGGAGGTCAAACATCGAGGGAAGAGTGAACATTTGGGACTGATTAAAGGAAAATTTCTGCAGACTGATCTACTGCAGCACTCACCGCAGCGACACGAGCCCAGCTCCTGCTGCACCAGCTCTAGTTTGGTTTGGCAGCGAAAGCAGCGCCGGCGATTCTTCTGCTTGGGCGTCCCACGGGCCTCGTCGCTGCTGCCCTCCTTCTCGTCGGCTCGCGGTCGTTTCTCCGGCGTGGCCTCGCTCTCCGAGCCCGAGGCTGGAAAGCAGAAAGCAGCAGGGTTACCACTGAAAGTGGGCCGGATCCCAGCGAGATGCTGCTGGCAGGGTGGCGAGGCCGTACCTGACTCACGTGGACGCTTTGTGGGTGTGCAGAGTGTGCCTTGGGCCGTTTCTGTGGACGTCACGCCTGCAGATGGAGAATTACAGAATGAGTGATGCATGCGGTGAAACAACCGCTTTCTAGGACAGAAACCCTGCCTGTGGGGAGGCAGCCGTGTTTCTGTGTAATCGTGTTTTAGATTGCTTCCTGCATCAAAAGCAAACAGCTAGAAAACTGCTGCCAACTTTACATGGTTCTAATTTTCTAAATTTCACAGCAAATCCTGTAAAATTTTGTTTTATGAGCCAGAAAAAAAGACACACAGTTAAATTAATGTTGAAATTTTACTGTTTTTTGTGTTTATCATTTTAGACAGGAGAATTGCATCCTATGTATCAGTGATCAGCTAGTCAGCCTGGTCTTTTCTGGGACTGATGCGTATGAGCTACATTCTCCACTAGGGGGCTCTAGTGAGCTTAAACCACAGAGACAACAGAAAATACCTTTAGTGAACATAAAGGTTCATTAAACAAGCTTAGCCTAGCTGTTAGCTCATCAGTGCTGAACAACCATAACCATTTCTCTACACAGAGGCTGTTCAGGACATCATCTTTAAAAAAAAAAACTTCAAAAGGGCCCAAAACCACAGAAACCACAACGTGTTCGGATCATGCAGCAAGTCAAACATCAGTAATGTTATGAAAGGAAGTCGTTACCTTGGCAGGTCTGGAGTCTGGTGGCGACTCGACTGTTAAAACTGCAGCCGTCACTCAAACCCTGACAGGCTGCTGCATCAGTTACCTCCTAACCAGCTGCTAACGGTCCCTGTCCCTGATTCTGGTGGTAATGGTTACTGTGTGAACTAGCTGAGCTCTGCTGTGTTGTTTACATTAATCTGAGTGACAGCCTCATAGTCTCAGTGCCACCATCTTGTTTCCAGTCAAAGCTTTAAGGGTCAGCCATGTTTTTCACCTCTGTGCTTGGATACAAGACAAAGAACAGAAGCCCGTTGCTGCAGACAGAAACACTGAAATGTGAGCGCTAACCGACCCCAGCGACAGTCGCTCCTGTTCAGCAACAACGCACCTTCTCTCCTGGTGGCGAACATGGGCGAGGGGTCCTGGGCCGACGGCGGCTCGGAGCTGGAGGGCAGCGACAACGATAGCGACGAGCTACTGCTCGACTCGCTACTGAAGACGGGCGATTGGCTACCGCTGCTTTGGATTGGCTTGGAGGGACAGTCCTCCTCTGGCGGCTTCTTCTGGACATCTGAGGACAGGGACAGGAAGAGACGAGACGAGGACAGAAAAGTTTTTTCGTTTTATGTTTATAAAGTAAAAAAATACTAAGAAAGTAAAACATTTTCCCTAAGAAACAAAAAATAAAATCAGCCCATTTGTTCCTTTTAAGTTTTTACTGATTATGGACAAGAGGAGCGGTCCAAGAGTCTGCTCTTTACTCATTATTATTATTATTATTGTTATTATGATGAGCTGCTTTAGGGAGTAAACAAACCAAAACCATCCGTTTTAGATGACTCTGTCCGGGGTCATTAACGTCTGATTTACTAACAAGTCGTTCTTTATTCTGAACTCTGACCTACGGCTGATTAAATACCTTTCATTTAAAAAAACAAAACAGTTTACTGAACATACTGCATCTGTCAGGCATCTAATGGAGCTTTCACATCTGGGTCGGCCATGGCAGGTTATCACGCTCACATCTGGGTCGGCCATGGCAGGTTATCACGTTCACATCTGGGTCGGCCATGGCAGGTTATCGCGTTCACATCTGGGTCGGCCATGGCAGGTTATCGCGTTCACATCTGGGTAATCTTGTGCGTTTTCTGCGCTCAGCTGAACGTTTTCTTTGGACCTGCTCACGGCAGTCAGCTTGATGCAAAGCCGACCCGACACACCCACTACCCACCGACTGGCTGGCTAAAGTTCACGCCTACCTACAGAGGAGCCTCTGATTGGCGGGTAGAGTCACGTGCATGATTCAATATTAGTCTGGATGCAGTGGAGTAAACACCTCTGACTGCAGCTCCAGCGGGAGTCATGAGGTTTGCCGTTTGGTCCATGAAAGGCTGAGTCACCCTGAACAGGGCTGCCGTTTAATCCGACCACTTCGACGTCTAAAAGGTGGAGTTGTGATAAAGGTGATTTAGAAAGACTTCTGCAGATTTCCAAAAACTCCACAATAAAACCACAACTCAGGATTAATGACATCAGTGGCTCCTGACCTTTAACCTCTGACCCAAAACATTACTGTGGTTAATGATGCAGTTTTTAAAAAGTTAAATAAAAGTGTAGCAGAATAAAAACATCAGGAACTCTTATCCTCGTTTCTCTACAGATCATCTGAAGACCCTACACTCAGTGTTTTATGACCACAGCGGGGTCCCGGCACCGCCTTTGGGAACCCCTCTAACTTCTTTCACCTGAGCTGTAACAAACCAGGTAGACGTTTATAACATGGTTATTCATGAAGATGTTTTATAACAACATGTCCTGGTCTGGAATAATCTACTTCTGCTCAGCATCCAGACCCGGGAGTACCGCGTCTATTCTGAGCATCGCTGTTGTCTCTGATGACGGACTCCAGAGCCGGGCCTCGGGGTCCGCTCCGTCTGCAGAGCTCAGCTGTTGCCGTGGACGCAGACAGAGCTGCAGCACATCTTCAGCCCACCCACCAGAACTTTCAGCGGTTTTGGGTCAGAACTAAGAGTCGCTTTTGTTTTTGTTGATCCGTACTTAACGGAGGTGATCTCAGACCTGCGGGTGTGAACGTGTTAACTGTGAAACACGTGAACTCTGACAGCGTTGGTGCACGTGACCACAACAGCTTCGGTCGTAAAACCTGGCTGGAGTCTAGCAACAAGCTGAGCAGGTGAGTCACTGCAGACAAAAACGCTGCAAACGTCTGAAAATAGAAACGCGGTCAAAACCATCAGCTGGAGTTTTCACCTGAGCAGAAACCAGCCTGACTGGTCCGAGGAAAACTTCACCAGTAACACCCCCTTATCCTCACTGAACACCCGCAGAAGATCATAATATAGACTCAAACGTGACTAATCCATCACCGGGTTGCTGTTTTCTAACCTTTATGCTGTGTAAGAACATGGACATGAAATAAAACAAGCGTTTCATTTTCTAAATCATAAAGGAAGAAAATCGACTCACCAGCAAAACATTTGGAGCAAAGATTCATGGTTTTACTTGACCTGAAAACAGGAGAAACTCGAGTTAATCAGCCATTCAGTTCATCTAAACGTCCAAATACAAGGTTAGAAAACACGATGCAGTAAATAAATGGCTATTATCTAATAAACGTGTCGGGACAGAACGGTTATAAAACATCTATAAAACCACGACCCTCAGATAACGCTTACATCACATCCTGACGTCTTATCTAAACTTTAAACGCTGCTGCTATTATTCTCCGTTACAGAGATTAGGTTTGGGTTTAGGACACCCAAAACTATTATTAATGTTAGTTATTATCAGCTGCAGCTTCATCAGCCAATGTTGTGTCTGGTTTAAGGTGTAAAGCTCACTTCTATCAGGTTGTTTTAGGAAATAAAACCGGTTTTTATTCCTGACAGCAGAGGAAACTGAAGATTTTAACGTCGGCTTCAGGTGTTTCTCTGGACCTGTCTCTCCCCCCGCCGTAGTCCCCAAACTGGAACTTTGTGGGGTTTTCTGATCTTTGTTCCGACAGGAACGCTGTGACTAAAGCAGCAGAGCCAGCCTGAAAAGACCTTTTTGTTCTTTTGCTTTTAAACTTTCAGAAAAGGTTTTGACTGTTTTATTACCGGAGTCAGGAGTTAACCCTTTAGGGGTGACTGATCTTAAAAACACACACACACACACACACACACACACAGACACACACACAAAAGCTATAAAACACCTTGTGGGTTGATTGTAACTAGTCAGGAAAGGAACCACATATAATTGCTTTAAAGAGCAAGTCACCCCAAATCAACTTATTTTTTCTGATAAGCTATATAAATGTGTGTCTAATCGTGCTGCAGACACGTGTAGTCATTAGTTTTGCACTTTAGTGCATCTTAATTAAAATTTTAATTTTCTGCCTAAAACTGTCAGTGTTGTGCCGTTGTCAGGTAAAACTCTGCACTGCATTTGAATTTAAATCTGTCATCGCTATTGGCTAAGAGGTACCCTAGAATGTTAGCTGGTACCATATGATGTCACAATGTCATTGTGAGCCTGTGTGTGTGTGTATGTTAGCGGCTCCTCCCTCTCCATCTGCAAGGCAACAGCATTTGCTGCATTTTTCAAAGAGGAAGTGGGAGTTGAGTAATACTCTGGTAGGGGGTGACTTGCTCTTTAAGCTGTTTTATTAGAAGATTATTTTAATACAAAATTATGACTTGTTCCATCCTCCAAAATCTACACTTGAATTTTTTAATATTCCAGTAAACAGTAATAACACGCACGTAATGAAGAGTTTACGCTGAGGCGGTTTTATTTCCCGTAAAACACGCAAAGTAAAAAGATGAAGCTCACACATGCAGGCGTGTAACATCAGGGTTTTAGCATGGAGCCACTTGTGCAAAACTTATGAATTATTACCACCTGACAGAAAAAAGTTAGAATGGCCTGTGCTCAGAGCCAACAGCAGGTCCGCCGTGTCGGTGACGACATCTCCATTACGAGCCCTACAGGCAACGCCAGTTCATAGGCGTCTACATGATGTCTGTGACTTCAACACAATTGCCAGTCCTTACTTGTTACTACTGACAACAGCATGCTCAGTCTCGGTCTTGCGGCTTAAATTCATCTAAAATTACTCTGATCTGTGAGATTACACAGCTATGGTACTCGTCGCCGTGCTGTGGGGTGACACACGTGATCGCCAGAGAAATAAAGACGGAAAAAGAGCCAACTTTTCATCGTTTTCCTGCTTGGAGGCAAGAATCTACAACAAAGTCTCGTCGGCTCGCTTGGATCGCAGCTGTGAGGCGACCAAACCTCTCCTTCTGGAGTGTTTTCAATCTGGCAAGTTAAAGGTGGTGCACGTTTTTATACATCGTTTCTTTCCCTCAACCACGACACGCACACGCACACGCACACGCACACACACACACACACACACACACGGGCTACAGCTGTTGTCTGTGCTCTAGTCTTGGGTCTTTCATTTGGATACAAACAGTTTATAATGCTGGTTTTGTCCACATACCGGTCCCAGACGTCTTTATTTAACAGATCCCTGTATATCCCACATGCTTTGTGGGATTTTAACGCGTTGTTTAACATTTTCTTTCACCCAAATCTGCTTCTTCTCTGCGACGTATTGTTTGTTTTCACAGTTTGTTTACACTTGCAAGGCTGCCAACATGTCTGCGCACGTCCCAGAAAGCTATGCATAATAACGTGCAATCACAAGCTCTATTGGAGCTGGCATAGCAGCGGGCCACCATCTTGGATGGGTCTCCATTTGCCCCAGTGCATTTATTTCTACTGAGGAAGGTGCTCACTCAACTAAAAAAACAAAACACATTTTATTTGGCTTTTTCGCAAAATCAGATATATGGTAATGCAAACGTAGGCTGCACAAAAAACAGGTATAGTTGACCGCTCTGCGTTTACTCTGTGATACCATAACGCACTCCACTGCCCAATGGTGCGTCTACAGACTCCCTTCTATGTTTGCAGTAACCATAAAATAGCCACAGGCTCTTAAATTTCCCAACGATTTCCTAGAAATTACTTCATAAACCAAATTAACTGTTGTCAGCTTCACATGTTAGCTTGTTCATGTAGAACTGTGTGGTTATTAACACTCATAAGGAGATGCATTAAAATAATCTGTTGGAAACAGGATTAATAATCGGCTAATCTGAAGCTCAAGAATCTGATTCTCACATATCATCTGCAAAACAAAAAACGTGACATTTTCACTATAAAAAGCTCTTCCAGAATCAAAATTTGCATTAATCAAATCTTTTCATAGTCAACAAACATCTGTATTGACAAGCTAGAGCTGTGCAGAAATAGGAAATCTGTCAAATGCATACATTAATTGTAGTATTTGTCAGCTGAAATTTCTTAATATTTAAAATATGATGTGGAGTATTATCGAGGAGTGGAAGATGTAGCACAAACGTGACTCCACAGTAAAATCGTGACCATGATTTTAGCTCTATAGTTGGATTTCAAGCAGTGGATTTAAAACTAGTTGTTTCTGAAGAACACTTTAAATTCTGTAACTAGTAACTAGTTGATTTGGGGGTGACTTAAGTGATCAGGCTCAGTGTGTCACGTCTAAAACGGTCCGGGCAAAAACAGATATCCATTATTTATCTGTTTTGGCCAAATGTTGTGCTCCTCATGGTTTTATGGGTTCGGTGGCGTACCATTAACGTCTGCTAAAGGGAGAAGTCACGATCCATTTATTTAAGGCAGACAATCCTTTAAAAAGGAACAATCCTGAAGGGGGTTTTGAATTTCACTGACTCGTTCTGAAGGCTGTGTGAGAGACAGGAAGGCCAGCAGCTGAGTTTAGGTTTAGACTCTCAGAGTCATTAGCACACAAGTTCGCCATTTGGGTCAGCTGACACTGACAGGTGGGTTCGGGTTTGTGCACTGGACACCACATGATAAAACCAGATGGGGCAAAACTAAAACGAAGGCTGGCTGATTATCAAACAGGTCATATGTCAATAACGGTAATACCTGGAAACAACAGGGTGTTCTCTTCCTGGTTGTGTCACCCTGAAATCAAACCCAGATCAGGACTAAAAGTCTCTCCGCTGGTGATAAAACACAGATAAGCTTTATCGTGTTTGTTTATAATGTACACGACTGTTGGAAACAGTCACGTGTGGTGTGTGTGTGTGTGTTCTATAGATTACTGGTTAGGTTTAGTCATTGTTCCTATGGGGTAACAGAAGAGTGAATCACATCCGGTATGCAGCACACATCCACCACTCTTGACAAGCCCGAATGTAAAAAGGAGATAAAATAATTCAGGATTAAGTTTAAACGCAGATCGAACTGAACGGCTCTGGTGGAAAAACGCGTTTTAGTAACAAATACGTGCTTTTTTCGATAGGGTGTCACAAACACGGCACGTTTAAAAGGAACCTGCTGGTAATAAATCATTCTCTGTCTCGGGTACAACATCTCCTGGGTCTACAAACCGCTCTAAAACACGGCTGAGGCCGGTTACAACCAACCCTCCGCGTTCAGAGGACGTTTCGGGGTTTATAAACTATATATTTGATGAAATTTAGTGATTTATACAACGAGGAGGTTCGTTTATTAGCGAACTTCCCAACCCCCCACCCTCGGCCTGCACGACAGAACAACAACAATAGGTTTGAACCCGTTGAGAAGATTTCATCCGGATTTACGTTTCGGTTAAAGATAGCGGGTTTAAATCGAGTTGAGATCGGGTTAAACACTTACCCCCAAAATCCACAGGGACACCGGGGAGGTAGAGTCGAGGCTTTGCTTCGTTCACTTGTGTCTCCCATGACTTCCCAAACAAAAAAAAAAGAAGAAGAAAAAAAAAGCAGAAGCCTAATATGGAAACGCGAGGCTGGGGATGAGTCCGGGGCCTGCTCCTTCTGCGAGGAACACGGTCCAAAAACCGAGTCAACAAAACAAAAACGTCCGCTTCCGTTAAAGTCCACTAGCCGAAGAGGAACGGAGGCGAAGCCGAGCCGTTTCGGCGACGAAGCCCGTCCCGTGAGGCGGAACAAAACGGCTGAGTTTGAACAGGAATAATTGAACAGAGCTCAAAGCGATCAGCTGGACATTCGGAAGTTCCGACCGAACACCGAAAAGCGGGGGGCGTCCGGCTGCTCCACTCGGCCCCAAAATGGCTTAAGACGACCCCAGCCTTCCGGTGAAACGGATAACACACAACTATGGCGACGTTAAAGACGTGGGAGGGTGCGATAAAAGAAAAAAATAAATAGATGAAGGCCTTCCCCTCCGTTACAGATCAGGACCACCCCTATTCACACGTCGCTGGTACGGAGGACGTTGGACCGGAAACGCGTCCGTCAAACCAGAAATGTCAATATCAGCCAACGACAGAAAGGCTAAATAATTTAACAAAACAACCATAAAAGTACCAAGTTTCAGTAGAAAACCCCACTAAACTTAAAAGAGGAAATAAACGAGTTAATGTGATTGTTTAATGCATACATGCTTTAAGGTTGGCCTGCCTTTGATCACTGCTTCTGGTTAATCCCTTTTCCTTGTCTGATTAGATTGAAAATAAGAAAAAAACTTTAAAGAAAATACAATCAACATGAATAGAATCCTACTTTAACGTCAAAGCACTGATAGACTAGTTAAACAGAACTGTAAACATCAAAATAAAACGGAATAAAAGTGTTTAATCCACAGTAGAACACTATTGCTCACACCTTTTGATTTCCAGCAGAAAAATAAGCAGGTTTAAATGTTTTTTATTCAATATTTATAGTTAATTTGCTGCTCATCCCAGCTAGTTTAAAAGCAGATTTAACCACTGTAAAAGTTACAATATGTAAGAAAAGTTAAATACCCTTTTTAAATAATAAAAATGAATCATTTCTCTTACCATATCGGTATTACATGGTTTTTCTCTTTATGGGAACAAATTTCTGTCGTGCAAATGACAAATATGCAAACTTGCTGAGACTTTGCACCAGTTGCTGGAAAAATCCTCTAAAACGTCAAATGGGACAAACTGACAGTCTCAGAACCACAAACAAGACACATTTATTTGAGTTTCAAAATAAGACATATTTAAAAGTTTAATAGCACAAATTCTCATTGTGTAGCACAAACACTTCCTGTTGAGCCAAGAGGGCAGCAGTGCCTTGAGCAGAATGAACATGTGATAAGTGATAAATCAGTATTGTTCTGTAACAAGCCTTAACAAAACACAGAGGTCACTGTGCAGCTTAGATGAACGACCTCTTCCTTAAAACAGCAGCGAGTGGACGAGTGTGACCCCTCACAAAAATAAAACCAACTAGAGCCAGTCCTGAAACATAAAACTCATCATGGACCGGCAGTGTGAAGAACAAAAAACGTCAATAAACATAAACTACAAATATATTAAACCAAACTATGGATGTACATGAACTTACAGAGGACACGTCTTTACAACAGAGCCCTAGTGTTGTTTAGCTTTAAGGAAGACCAACTTCATCTTCTAAACTTCTGATTCGATGCTTAAAAGCTGCTCACCCAGGTTAGTTCACCAGCCTGAAACACGATTCTAATAACCAGAAAAGTGCAACATCCAAACAAATAAAACCAGTGCAGAGAGCTTATTCCTGAAGCAAAAACATCAGTAGCTAGTTTCCAGGAGTTTAAATTAGCATAAACAAGCCTAATTCAGCATTAAAATACTGTACTTCAGTCAGAAAACACACGCTGCAGCCTTTATCGGTGTGTAAACTAAAGGAAAGTGCCAGTGGTAGCTGCACACCTTGCTCTGGTACACAACCAGCAGCTCTAGTGCAGAAACATTTGGTCCGAGCCTCTGAACCCTTACTTTTGACAACATCACTCTTATTCCTAATTATTTAGCTTCAAATATTCATCTGACAGGTAAACCTGATGTTTTTTTGTTTTCTTGAGGTATTAAGTATCAAAAGGTCACACCAAATACCAGAAAACATTTGGTTTTTGAGTAGGAGAGCCTGAAATTCAACCCCCCGTAGCTGTTACTTTACAAGCAGCTGCACAATTGGATTCAATTCTACTTTCATCCAAAAAACATCAAGATTTATCAGCTTCACAGGTTTGATGAACCATTAAAGAATCAACTTTGAAAATTTAGAAAAAATACTACTCTGTTAATCTGATGGTATGAAAAGTGAGTCGAATCTTAAAAAAATAGCTCGACGAGGATTAAACAAATGTTTCTTTAAAATTATTACTATGAATGCATCATATGCGTAAGCTCCGCCCCATCCACCTGCTCCTCTGTGAATCTTTAAGTCAGTGTGAGACTCGCCTCTGGAGAGTCTCATGGCTAAAAAGTACCTTCATAAAACAGGGAAGACAGGAGCTAGAAATGCTGCTGCTACAGAAAAACCAGTTCTACTGTTGCACGAGTGACAGAAGGACCACCGACAAAGACGAGGCCACAGCCGTAGCAGCGTTGGAGCAGTGTGGTCTGGGTGATGAAAGCTGTGCAAAAGGGCAGTGAGGTCTCAGAGAGCTCCTAATGTTGGGACTGGGAGGAGAAGGATGAAGAGGAGGGCTGGCTGGGCTGCAGGCTGTGTGTGCGTGAAGGTCGCTGCGGTCGCTGCTGCTGGCTGGCGGCGCCTGAATCAGACGAGTCTACCCCGGGACTGCCCTCTGTGACCTCCGTGTCCACCTGGGCTGGACACTCGAAGTGAACGCAGTGGAACACCTGCAGACGGGTAGATGCAGTTGAACTCAACACACTTTACGACAGATACGCTACACATGCTAATGCTAACGTACCTCATTAGCGGTGTTATGAGTTCCAACGACACGAACGAACGAAGCTGGCTGATTTTCAAACTTCAGCGTCTGCCACGATCTGCAAAAGAAGTAAAAACAACATGAGGGAAGATTCTGTCACCAGGTTTGAGTCTCAGGAGGAAGGAAAGCGGCTCTACTGCTGCTGGAGACAACATAGCAGGAAAACACACTTCCACACTGACCTGCTGAGTTAAACACTTGCAGTAAGTCTTCTAAACGGCTGACTCGTGTGGGGAATTATTTGTGTAAATATTAGTGATTCTGTCCTTTTAAAACACCAAAATAGAGAAGCAGAACTCTAGTTTTAAGGTTTGCTTAAATAAAAAGAAAATGTCTGAGTCTTGAATTTGATGTTAAATGCACCTCGCGAGTAAGTTAAGCCTCAGTTTGTTAGTAACTCATCTTTGTTTTATCAGGGATCTGCAGGTTTCATCCAGTTAAATTCAAGTCTTTTTAAGGTATTATTTTCTAATTCAACGCTTTTAAGACCCCGCAGGAACCCTGTTTATTAGAAAACCCCTCCCAAAAGCCTTGTTTCCTATTTTTACTGCTGAAAACTGAACTGCAAAGCTCGGCGTTGCCGACAATGTCTCTGCAACTATTTCGAGACAAACAGCAAATTCCCCTTTTCAGGAGAATGAGGCCATCTCCCTAGCAGCTTTTACTGGGGTGCATCCAGACTAGCAACATCACTTCCTGGTTTGCTAACTGCAGCAAACAGGAAGACGATGCAATGTGTGGTGTAAAGAGTTTGTTGTTTGTTGCAACCACCAGGTACAACAACTAACTTGTTTTTATTTGACTATTTTTCTGTCCTGTCTGTTTATTATCTTCCTGCATCTCCTCTCCATCCTAAAGACAAGCTGCTACCTGGGTTCATATATATTCACCTCATGAGTCACCTTTGAACTGCAGTTCTAAAAGATCTACCGACCGCAAAAACAGCAGAGTGCTCGCCGGCCACATCAGTGAGGTGCGTCACCGGAGGACAAAACAGGTGATGCGCTCCGCTCCACAGCAGCGAAACGCATCAGGCACAAATAAAAGACAGAAAACATAAAAGGAAATGAACCTACATGAACGATCGCGTGTTAAAATTTGTTTTTGAGGTGGCGACACCTGATGTGATAATGTTACCGTGGCCGTGCTCAGGAAGCAGATGTCTGGAGCGCGTCAACAATCAGAGCTTTGCATGCGCAAGCTGGTTAAGGTTAGGATGGGGGTGAGGGGAAGGTTCAATTGCAAGAGGGTAAAGGTCACGATTCGGTCAAATGCCCGTTTTACGGCGGGCGTCAGATACCAACGCTCTGGCACAGCGCGTCACCTCCCAAAACGCAGGGGCTCGTCACCTGCTGTCTTTTCCGAGGACTCCATCTGGTCGGTCATTATCACGTGACAGCGACTAGCTTATGAAAGGCATAAAAAGCCTCTACAGAGCAGTGAAGTCGACCAGTCGACTAGTTCATACAACCCCTACCCCTGACCAGTGGAGAGACATCTCATGTCCTGGGTCTTCCTGTAGGTCTCCTCCTGGTTGGACGTGCCCAAAAAAGGCATCCAGGATGCATCCTGACCAAATGCTTAAACCACCTCAACTCAAGTGCAGAAAACTCACTTCGATCGCTAGTATCCGTGATCTTGTTCTTGCTGAGTGAGGGAAAGATGAAGATGAGACCATGGTCTTGATTCGGAAAAGGGTAGAATGCCTTCTCTGGGTCAGGGGTGAGGTCCTGCCCCAAGTGGAGGAGTTTATGTAACTTGGGGTCTTGTTCACTAGTGAGGGAAAACCATGAGATCAACAGGTGGATTGGTGCTGCATCTGCAGTGATGTGGGCGTTGTACCGGTCTGTCGTGGTGAAGAGAGAGCTGAGTCAGAAGGCGAAGCTCTCGATTTACCGGTGGATCTACGTTCCTACCCTCACCTAGCTTTGGGTAATGACCGAAAGAATGAGATCGCGGATACAAGCGGCAGAAATGAGTTTTTCTTAGCATGATGCAGCTAAATCAGTAACAATAGGGGAGATCTAAAGCGTGGCGCTTCTCACCGACATGCCACCCTGCTGCGATCCACCACCCTCGTCCACTGCTGCTGGTTGGTGGAAACTTCGATGTAGTAACTGTAGGAGCGTTGGTCGCAGTCCCACAGCAGCAGCCTGAATGAGGAGCATAAAACCTTCATCATGGTAATAAAACTGGAGTTTTCAGAACAGACAACCCTGAAGAACATTTGTGCAAGTCCTCAGACTGAAAACACGTTTAACAAAAACGTAACAGAAGGGATGTTTTTACGGTTGTGGTGGAGGACGCGGCTTCCCAGCCTCAGAACTTACCTCAAAGACCCGATGGAGTAGGGCTGAGCGAGCTGGACGACGATGGCTCCCGAGCCCAGCTGGTGACACGTGTACCCGCAGTCCCAGTCGTAGTTACGCGTGTCGCCGTTGAGCAAGGAATTTCTGCTTCTACTCACACCCTCAATGACGCTGGCACAGGAGGCAACAGTGGCCACATTCTCGCTGGGTACTGGTGATGGAAGAAGTGTTTTTGTTTTCAGGTTAGTGTTAAATCAGAAGAGTTTCTCACATCGATGCGGTTAATAATTCCTAGCAGGGTTGTGTGGATTTCACTGGAGAGGAAATTAAATAGAAATTATTCACATTTTACACAGAAACAAGTTTCAAAATGGCTGAAGCTAGACAGACGGTGCACTTTTTAAATACGTACCCACGAGTCCGTCCTCCAGGGTGAACGGACGGTTGGTGAACATGCATTCAAAAGCCACGAGGTGAAAGACCTTGTTGACTGTGTTGTGAGTTCCAACAATACGAACATACCTGAGAAACAAAGACACAAACGAGCCTCAGAAACCAGGAAAATTTAATTAATCTGATGGTGGTGAAGCCCGGAAGGCAGTGAAAGTCAGAAAACTACGAGACATTAGAATCGTTTAGATGTTTACGGTGATCTAAGGTGTAAACAAGGTTTCTGATTAACACCAGTGCCGTTTATAAACTCTGGTGATCAAAGATGACAAGCAGCAGCTTTAAAATACACTAAATTGTTTGACTGCAGAGAAACAAATAGAAAATCTAAATAATGGGTTGTTTGTTTCAACAGATTCCTCCAAAACCCACCTGAAGGATAACCGAAGAGGGCTTTTACCTGCAAACTCGCGGCGTGAAGTAAAGATTCTGCCACGAGCGGCAGAGAAACTTGGAGTGGTCAATAACGCGCACCCAGTCCAGCTCGTCCATGGACACCTCGATGTAGTAGGAGTAAGACCTAAAACACACAGACCTCAGGTTTACCACGGTCACATTCAATCTGTATTAGGGTTGTCACGGTGTGAAATTTAACCTCACGGTAATTGTGACCAAAATTATCACAGTTTTCGGTATTATCGCGTCATTTTTTTAAACGTGTTACATTTTCAGACAAATAAATAAACCCTGTATGTCAGGAAATATTGTCCTCAGTTTGTGTCTAAATTTTGCCTAAAATGTGTTATTTTGTAATTATGTTGTTTATTTGTTTACATTTTCCCCCTTTAGTCTTTAAAATACCAATATTTGCCCATAACTTCTTATTTTTTGTCTGTTTGATGTCATCATTTAAAAAATATTAGACCAGATGACACTCAGTACTCAAGTAGCCTTCTAATCAGATACTTTTTTACCCTTACTTGAGTAATAAACCCTATATCAGGAAAATATTGTCCTCGGTTTGTGTTCCAGTGAGATTTGCAGATGTGGGAAAATGTCATCAGGCAGTAATCATTGTTAAATTCATAATTATTGTCGGAGAGAGACCAACTCTTATCTGCCCCTGGGAGCCCCGTAATGCATAGCGTCATTTCAACATGGGGGTGTCCGCGACACGGTTTATATGCAGGTAGCGACGCTGCGGCTGCTTTATATAGCGACTCGTTGCATTCTCCCTCAACCCAAATCCTCGGATCACGCATTTTAGCTAAAATGCTAACGTTAGCTTGCCTTGCGTTGACTGTAGAGTTGTGGGTGATGGTCACGCAGATGTGTCATGAGATTTGAAGCGTTGCTGCCTTTCACAGACACTTTTTCTGCACGTGCTGCAAACAGGATAGCCGTCTTCTATCAGCTGTCCCTCGGCATTCTTCAGATATCCAAAAGATGCCCGTACTTCCCACTTTGTCTTCTTTGAGGGATAATAAATGTCCTGAGCGCAGCCGTCTCCTCCTTTGGCCATTATTTCAGCTTTAGCTTCAAGAAAGTTTTGGTTGTAAACAACAAAGTGCGCATGTGCTGCCGGCAACTTCAGCAGACGATACAGTGGCTGGTAGAGCTGAGGAAAATAATGAAATAATCGATGCATCGGGATGCGGACATAAACGATTCTGCATCATAGAAAAGGACGCCATAATCGATTATAGTGGAATGTAGTTTTGATTTTTTAATGGCGGCACCAGCACACCATCCAAATATGTCAGTGTGAGCGTCCTCCACATTTACCTCCGCCTTAATGTGGTACTGCAGGGCTGAGCGCAGGAGTTGTAACCAGAGAGAGAGAGAGAGAGAGAGAGAGAGACAGAGAGACAGAGAGAGAGAGAGAGAGAGAGAGACTGTCTGCTCACATAAGAGAGAGGATCGGAGGACGCTCCTCCAAACCGATGCTCCAAACACGCATTATTATTTTCATAATTTAATTATTATTTTTCCTGGAAGCGCTCAGTCAGACTGCCTGTTGTAATGTAGGGAGATCCTGTCTTGGGGAGGGGGCGGGGTCAATGACGGCGGCTGCAGCGTGATCGTCTGTCTCTTTTATTTAGGAACACGGAGAAGTTAAAAGGCGAGAGAGATAGAAGATAGAAGTTCTTGTTCCACTTTATTCTTTTGTTTCATGATGATAAACTGATGTTAAATTCAGCTGAAAGAGAAACTGGGAGGAAGCTTTGGTCCATTTTAAGTTACAGGAGGTCTGTCTCCTATCTGCCCCTCCAGAGACAGCATGGACATGAGGGTCACATGTTGAGGGTCACACTGGACAGGTTAGTGGAAAGGTTTGTGGTTAGCTGGTTAGTGAAGGAGATCCATCAGCTGGGTAATTTAATCCTAATCCAGCCCACAGCCTTCTGCTGGTGTTATTATCAGAAAGAATAAAACACACATCTTAAATATTATTGGAAGTGTAGAATTTGTTTTATGTTTTATTATTTTCTGCATCAAACAGAACTTGATTCATTCTCCAACATTTCAGAAACGAACCACTGGGTTCAAATGAAACTAAGTCAAACATTTCATTTGGTGTTATTTCTGACACCCTTCAACTGTGGCATAAATATTTGCCTCTAGAGCTGCTCAGAGACATTAAACACTCATATATGAACCCATTATGGATTTTATTATTACATTATGTGTCCTGTAGGTTTTCAGTACTTTTTTAGATTTTGTGAGTTTTTGCAAAGCGTGTTTTTCTCAGCCTGAGGCGTGGTGTTGAATGAGGAAACGGATGTTTTACTTTGTTAAATCTTCTAAAATGTTTAAAATGTTTTGTCCTAACCTGTTGTGAAAGGAGAGCTTTTGAGTGATGGCAGGTTGTGTCAATTACGTTTTTGATTAAAAAAAAATAAAAAGCAATTATCGGACTTCTATTTATCAATGAAAACAAATCAATATGAAATAATCGTGATGCATCGTGATGCATCGGGATATCGAATCGAATTGAATCGTTGACCCAGTAATCGTAATCGAATCGGGAGACAAGTGAAGATTCACACCTCTAGTGGCTGGTAAGGGTCACCGCGTCTACACCGCAGCCACGGTAATCCACCGAGATAATTTATTTTTAAAAACAAGACAGTTATTATTATTGTCAAATTTTTTACCGGGGTTTACCGCTACACCGTTACCGTGACAACCCTAGTCTGCATTTAAAAATATTAGTCTGAGAAATCAGTAGGGCTGGGGGTAAACGATTATTTTTAAAACGATTATTCTGACGATTATTTTATCGAATAGTCGACTATTCTAATGACTATTTAGAAAATTAATCTAATGATTATTTTTCTATTGCACAATTAACAAAAACCAGAAAATCTCAAATAAATTCCTCAAAAAAATTGATTAATTCTTACTGTAAGAGAATAAACACTACAGGCCTTCCATTTTGTATAACACTGCTTTTATTGTGTTGGTTGGTTATGTTCTGGTGACGTGTAGAACTTGGGAGTGCAGGCTGCTGCCTGAGAGGTGGTAGAAGATGGAGTGTCTCCATGCTGCTTTGTTTTGGTCACTTATGTGCGTGAGGCGAGTGGTCTTACGGGTTAAACCAAACTCAGGTGATATTTTACACTAAACCGAAAACCCACAACACTCTAAATGTAATAAAAGGGAGATCTACACCACAAAAAAGATGAACTCTAAACCAAAACGTAACAGCTTATCCCAACGCAAGAAGCTGTTAGCGAAGATGCTAACAGTAGCTTTACCAACATTAAGTTCAAGTTACCAAGTTTAAATAAACCAAAAACACCCAGCAGCAAACAGACCAGCACGGAGGAGAGACTGCTACCACCAAAACAGCTCTCCTCATGTCTGAAAGAAGCTCCTTAATGAAGGGAGAAGCGCTCCCGGTGATTTTCTACATCTGCGATAGACACGAAGCAGCGCATCTGACCCCGGAAGTTGTTGTCCGTTGCCGGGAGACGAAGGGGCAAAACAGGAAAATAATCTAGTAGTGGACGGACGTTGTTCCGGGTCTTCGGTATTTGGCGGAGATTTTAGTGAAGGCGGAGAAGAGGGCGAACTAGAGGAAAAACAGGCAGATTCCTCCTCTATTTACAAACTCCTGGGGATGCAACAAGTGGGCGCGGTGCGTCGACTTCTGGATCTGACGTCGACAAATTTTTAGAATCGAGCCGTCGACTTCGTCGAGGCTTCGCTACAGCCCTGGAAATCAGCTCCTGAATTTTATAAACAGCAGTCAGTCATGCGTCAGCTGTGGTTTCATGACTGGACACAAACTTACCGGCTGTCTCTGTCCCACAGCAGCAGGCGGATGTGGTTGATGATGGACGACTGGCCCAGTTTCACCTGGATTCCGGACCGACCGTCCTCTTCGATGGGATGTCTGGAGAAGCCGTGGTCCAGGTCATAGTTCTGGGTGTCTCCATCCAGCAGTGCCGACTTCAGCTCTCCTTTAACCACCTGAGCTCCATATTTCATGGTGGCGATGTTCTCTTCTGGGACTGAAAGGTATAAAAAAAGACGACCACCAGAATAAATACATTTAAAAAGAACATTGTACACCAGAAACCCTAAACATGAAAACATCACGTGCTTAATGTGAATCCTTTCACTCACTGAGCATTCCGCGGTAGTTCAGGTCCATGTTGCGGCTTTCTGAGCGGATCTTGATGGCATCCAGAAGGTCGTCGGGACTCACGAGTCCAGATGGTCGCACCACGTTCAGCATCTCCGTCAAAGTCATAAGTGGCAGGCGGACGGCTGACATCACTTCCTGGGTTTCGGCCCCGTCCTCGTGCTGCTGGCACCAACGACACAAAGCCTGGAAGATCTCCTTCTCACTGGCAGCAAAGGAGTTCCGCATCACCACCGTTAGCAGAGCCGTCTGAAACACAAATGGTTTGACGAACCTACGGTAGCCTAAAGAAGAAAACTAAAACGGTTCAATGCCGTCCTCCTACCTTTGACAGGGTGAGAAAACCGTCTGAATTCAACACCTCTGGAGCGTTTTTGTCCATGTAGGCGCAGCAAGCTTCACTGAGCGTGCTCAGAGAGTAGAGACTGGCCACGTCAAAAACCAGGCAGACGTTGCTGACGTGCAGGACGGTGCGGAGGAACTCACAGGTGGAGTCCTCTAGAGGTTGGAGGCCGTAGCGGTGAGCCAAGCCCAGAAAATCCAGCAGCACCTCTTCTCGTGCAGAACTAAGGCTGGCCCGGCCCGTGTACAGGTAGTTTAGCAGCATGGAGAAGGCTTCAGCCCGAGTTTCCTCCAAACACACCTCTGCTTGGGGTTGGGACTCCTTCATCCCACCATACAGCAGGGCCCTGGAGGAGCCAGACAAGTGAGGAGATTGTACATTTGATTTACATGGTAACCAGCCTGTATGTGTATAGTGCCTTTTTAGGGTTCTACAACCCCCCAAGGCGCTTTACAACACAATCAGTCATTTACCCATTCACACGCTGGTGGGCACGAGCTACGATGTAGCCACAGCGGCCCTGGGGCGCACTGACAGAGGTGAGGCCTGCTGAACACAGGTACCACCGACCCCTCCGACCACCACCAGCAGGCAAGACGGCTTAAGTGTCTTGCCAAAGGACACAACAGTGGCATTCTCTGGGATTGAACCTGCAACCTTCCAATTACTGGACAACCCACTCAACCTCCTGAACTACTGTTGGCTCTAATTTATGAGGTAATGTTATCTAATTTGGACCATGGATGCTTTCTGATGATGTGACATAAAACAGCGCACATCAGGTGTGTGTTTCTGCTCTGTCTTCTCAATCCTCAGTGTGTGTGTGTGTGTGTGTGTATGTTCTGTCTTCTCAATCCTCAGTGTGTGTGTGTGTGTGTGTGTTGTGTCTTCTCAACCCTCAGTGAGTCGTGGTGGACAGCTGCTTATACTAGGGCTGGGGGTAAACCATTATTCTGACGATTATTTTATCGAATAATCGACTATTCTAACAACTATTTAGACAATTAATCAAATTATTATTTTTCTATTGCACAGTTAATAAAAACCAAAAAATCTCTAATAAATGCCTCAAAAAAATTGATAAATTGTTACTGTAAGAGAATAAACACTACAGGCCTTCGATTTTGTACAACACTGCTTTTATTGTGTTGGTTGGTTATGTTCTGGTGACGTGTGGAACTTGGGAGTGCAGGCTGCTGCCTGAGAGGTGGTTGGAGAGACGGAGTGTCTCCATGCTGCTTTGTTTTGGTCACTTATGTGCGTGAGGCGAGTGGTGTTACGACCCTTCCTGGGGAGTTTGGCTCGTGTGCGAAAAGGAAGGGACAATAACGCGGGATTTAAAAGTTAAAATGATGATCAGGTTTATTTACAACAACAAAACATAAATCTTTCCGACCACAGGTTGGGAATAATAAAACTAATTCTGCCTGTGGGGAATTAAAACAAAAGTACAAATAAGTAGGGATGTCCCACTGGGCAAAGATTACAGGGTTCTGGACCAAAATAAGAATCTCCAAACTCTAAATAGGGCAGTTAAACCAAACTCAAGGTGATATTTTACACTAAACCGAAAACCCACAACACTCTAAATGTAATAAAAGGGAGATCTACACCACAAAAAAGATGAACTCTAAACCAAAACGTAACAGCTTATCCCAACGCAAGAAGCTGTTAGCGAAGATGCTAACAGTAGCTTTACCAACGTTAAGTTCAAGTTACCAAGTTTAAATAAACCAAAATACCCAGCAGCAAACAGACCAGCACGGAGGAGAGACTGCTACCACCAAAACAGCTCTCCTAATGTCTAAAAGAAGCTCCTTTATGAAGGGAGAAACTCTACCAGTGATTTTCTACATCTGCGGTAGAGACGATGCAGCGCATCTGACCCCGGAAGTTGTTGTCCGTTGCCGAGAGACGAAGGCGGGCAAAACAGGAAAGGAATCTAGTAGCGGACGGACATTGTTCCGGGTCTTCGGTATTTGGTGGAGATGTTAGTGAAGGCGGGGAAGAGGGCGAACTAGAGGGAAAACAGACAGATTCCTCCTCTATTTACAAACTCCTGGAGATGCAACACGTGGGCGCGGTGCGTCGACTACCGAATCTGACGTCGACGAATTTTTAGAATCGAGCCGTCGACGTCATCGAAGCTTCGCTACAACCCTAGCTTATACTGAGCCAGGATCCTCTGGAGGTTTCTTCCTGTTAAAAGGAAGTTTTCCTCTCCACTGTCGCTGCATGCTTGCTTAGGATGAGGATTGCTGTAAAGACTCTGACACTAGTCAGTGACTCGATGCAATTTGCTGGTTTCCTTACAGGAAACTTTTTACTGACTGGCTTAATGAACTGACCTGTATTGGGATGTTTACTGTGTGAAAGTCCTTGAGACGACTCCTGTCGTGATTTGATGCTGTATAAATAAACTTGAATTGCATTGCATCAGGTAAATGTTTATATATAAAACCTGAAAACAAATCAGGATGAATACAGTTTATCTGTGAAACAATTTTTTTGCTTAACATTTGAAAACAAATCAAACCCTAATATCTATTAGTTAACTTTTGCATAAAGTTTGAAAAAAGGATGAGTAGAACAGAAAAGATAATCAGATTCAACATGGTTGGTGAAACTCAAACATCAGATCTTTACTTTCTTAGCTTAACATGCTGCCAATCTGAGAAAAAGAAATTCTCTATTTAACTCAGTTCATAAATTCACAACAGCCTGAACTAATTTTAAGTGGTAAACTGTTGTGTTTGTTTTGCTTTGAGCTTTAACCTCAGCAGCCGGAAGAGTGACCAAAACCACGTGTGATGACTAATCCAGGAATGCAAACACGTAGACTCACCTGAAGTAGTGGCAGCGAGCAGCAAGGATGACCCGGTGAGCCGGGAACCGCTTCCCCTCCACGATGAAGGTGACATCGCTGTACTCCTCTCCCAGCACCAGCGCTCCCAGCTGCTCTGACAGCAGGTGGATGTGATCGATCTCCGAAATGGAGGCCAGCGGCCGCAGGGGATGACTGTTGCTCATGGTCGACATCCAACAGAGTTACAGCTGTCACATAAAAAGCACAGCAACCTCAAACCGGCGTCACAAACAGTAAACAAGTCAAAGAGAAACAACCCGCGAAGGCGTCGCTCTCACAGTTAGCTCATGCTAGATGCTAACCGCAGCGCCAAAAACATAGCGGTTAGGTTAAAACAACAGACTAAAGTACACATGCTCACCGCTGCATTTGAAGTATTTAAACATAAAAAATAATAATAGAGAAGTTGTTTGGAAGCTAGCCGATGCCGGTGTCGTCGCCGACATTTAGCAAACAGCTAATTACCCTTTAGCATCTCTGTCTAACGTCATTCTGCGTCTCCTACTTACCGAACAGATACCATTCACTCCTGTCTTTTGATCAAAGTTAGTACAAAAATACAGCTGGGGCTAAGTTTTCCAATATGGAGAAAGAAATGCACCAAATTCCCGACCCTTCCACCATAACAGCAGCTTGGAAACGGAGTGACGCGGAAACGTCAGCAAACAACTTCCGATTAGTAAAATGTTGCTACATAGCAGCAACAGCGCCACTGTCTGGATCGGAAGGTCATTGTTAATTAAATTAAATTAAATTAAATTAAATTAAATTTAATTTAATTTAATTTAATTGAAATAATGTTTAGCTTCACAGAACCTTTACATAAATTACATATTTTGCTACACTTTATTTTAGCTGAATATCTCATGTCAAATGGTTGCTAAACTTGGTTATCATTTTTATTATCATATATTATTGACTGTTATTATGAAAATTAACAGTTTTTTGCTGACTCTTTAGTTTTATTTTAGTTGATCATTCAATGACACCAACAGTCTAGCATTTAGTATCCCTCAGTGGGTCCTGACCCCTACTTTGGAAACCACTGAAAAAAAGTTTCCTTGATTTCTGACCAGCATGATCAAATTTGTCATTAAAATAATTCCCAAAGGCTTATATTGTCTTTCTGCTACTCTTAAAAATATCCGTGTGCAAAGATGTTTGACAAAAAAATGAAAATGTAGCAAATTTATCAGAAGGAACCTAAAAAGGAAACATAAAAAACAAATACTATACATCTGTGTTTATTAAATATATATTATATTGTACATAATTAGTTAGATAAATATGCAAAGTAAAAAATCTGACAGAAAATAATTAAGATTTATTTGAAACAAACTGATGTGTCTTTATTATGGATGCCATTTTACCAGCAGGTGTCATCATATCAATAACTGAACCATCTGAAGCATTAAGACTTTTACAAGAAAATGAGCATTTAAACAAAACAAAAAAAAAAGATAAAAGAAAATGTCAAAATATTGCATCTGAATCTGTTAAAAATACAAAATAAGTCTAAAACATTACATGCATAAATACATGTGTATGTGTGTAAGAAGAGGTGAAAAGAAAACATGCATGACTGTAAAAAGCATCTTTAGAGCTGTCACTCATCCTGCGTCTCCGTGACAACAAGTTTCTTCATGAGTTGGATTTTTACATCTCACAGCTGCTCTGCTGAATCACATCCTTCATGACATCTGAACATGTTCCTGTCACGCCCATCGCTTAAAGTAAAAAGTCTAATTAAATATCAAACTGTTACATAATACAGTCCGGGTTAAATACTGATGAGTTACTTTAAAGATGACGCTAAAAGAAAACAAAGATTTAAAATAAACAAAAACCATGAAAAACATCTTCCATTAACTGATGAGGCTTTGCTATCAGACCAGCAGAGTTTTATTATTTATTATTTAGGTTTTTCTACGACTGAAGCATAGAGGCTGTTGGGATCAGTGGGCGGAGCTTTCACCACGCTGTAAGTGACATCAACGTCAACATTAATCTGCAAAAAAACAAAAATGAGAGGAAAGATGACCTCCTGTGACCTCCCAAAACAACCATGAATTTCTGAGAGAGCTCACCTCCCTGCCGCTCCTGTTGGGTTTCTTGGTGTAGCTGATGGAAGCGTAGGCAGCTTCACCTTCAGCTTCAACCTGCCCAACACACGAGCCGCTCAGTTAACCGCTGACGACACTTCTGCTAAGTGTTAGTTTCTCAAGCAGTCTTATTTTGGACCTTCCTGTTTCTCTCGGCTGTGTTTGCTGAAACTTCAACTTTCATCTCTGACCGCCTTCGTGTTAATGTTAATGATGCTTCAGGTGAGTTTAGACTACCTGTTCTTGTTCTGAGGCACACGGAGCCACGTCAGGGTCGGAGGTCGTGCCCTGAAAAGGATGCAGTTCTGCTAAATTCTTTCAGCTTCGTCGGGAAACGGTTCAAAAGAAAATGTTTATGCAGCTTTCATAATAATAAGTTATAAAGTTTGCTGCATCAGTTAAAATTGGAGGGAAATTTTTAAATCAAACAGAACAATTCCACCTTAAAACTGCATCTGAGAGTCAGGAAGCCGAGCTTCCTGTAACTCATGTGTGAGGGTTAGGGTGAGAGGATTAGTTCATGTAAATGCTTATTTATAACAGTTCAACACTTTTATCTTTTCATCCTTATGAGCTGAATGCTGAACTCACCCCACTGGAATGTTTTGGGCCTTTCTGCTGTAAAACTGAATTAAAATTGATCAGATTGTTAAAAACAGCAGGTAAAAACTGAAGTTTTACATTATTTTTCACAGGTAAATAGTTTTATTTCTCACCTTGATTTCTCTTGAGTATGACGAGTGCGAGGCCTATGATTAAGGCCACGGTGGCCACGCCCACCCCGACGTACACCCAGGTCCACCCTGGAAAAATAAAATCAACCAACTTTAGAGTCTGTAGGGTTCTTCTAGGAGGTAATAATAGTTTTAATGATTAAAAAGCAACGTAGTTATATATAATATGCGTAGAACATGCAATTTTAACTTTTATTTGATAATAAAAAGTTTCAAACAAATGTTTCAAGCATTAAACTCGAGTGTAAAGCATGAATAAAAGCTCCAGATAAGACAAAAGAATAAACTGTCACAAGATTGTTTTGTTCTCTTTGTACCGGAGTTTGAATTTTCTGGATTTCCTCCTGAATTTGGTTCAAGAACAGAAACCGAAATATACATCAAAAATAACGCTGATTTCTCACCTTAGGTGGAGAGGATGTTGTTTCATCTGAGATGAAACCTCTTCTTATCTTCAAGTTTTAATCTTTGTGTTTTATTTAGAGTGCTTCTAAGCAGCACATTGTCATGTTTCTGTGCTACGCTACAGCAGTAATTATCAGCGCCAGCAGGACCAGAGCCACAAAGATGTACAACCACAATAAATCTGCCAAGATCTCAACAGCATGGATGTGAATATAGGCTGTGTGTAATTAAATAAATAATAAACTTTCTGTTGATGAAATCCTGACAGTAAAACACAAAAATGATTTTCTACCTCGGTCTGCAGCTCCGCTTCCACCTGCAGACTCCGTCGTGTCGGTTTTCCCTCCTGATGTAACCATTGATGTTGTTGTTGGAGGAGAAAAATAAATCATAAGTTGTTTTTTACCATCAGTGAAACATTTGACTTCTAGATCTCTGAAACCAGGTTGTTGTGGTTTCTCACCTGTTGGACCAGAGCTGAAGGTAAAAAGCTGCTGTTTGTTTTCTGTCTCTACTTCACATTTGAATAACTTAAACCTTGATGAGTAAACGTAGTTGGAGGTCTGAAAGGTCACAGCAGCAGAGCAGGAAGATGGAGATGATGTCTTTATATCAGGATGATCTTTCTCCACATCGTTACCCTTAAACAACCACTTCACTTTACGTCTGCATTCATCGTACGGCGACACAGAGCAGGTGAACGTCACCTTGTTCTGCTCTGTTTGTTCTCTCACTGAGGACGGATGGAGAGAGAAAAGTAAACATGATTATATTTATATTTGTGATCGTTTTGTTGTGATAAATGTGTGTGAACACTCACGGGTAACAACGGAGAGGTAAACAGGAGCATCACTACGTGATGTACCACCTCCTTCTCTTTCATACTGTCTGCAGGTGTATAAACCAGCATCTTCAGCTGAGATGTTCCTCAGAACCAGAGAACAGTTTCCTGCTAGACTCAGTGAGTCTGATCTGTTGCATTTAACCTGGCCATGACCAACCAGCTCTTGTGCTTCTCCTCCTAGTTTATTGTAGTTCCAGGTGGTGGTGTTACAGTTTCTGTGACCGTTAATCACATTTTCACAAGACAAAGTGACATCATCTCCAGCTCTGATGGTGTAGAGAAGATCTCCACAAATGACTCCTGAGAGAATGATGGAGAACCAGAGGTGTTTATAGAGATTTAAAACGTTATTAAACCCTAACCCTACAGAAGCACCTGATGCTCTGGCTGTCAGGAATTTTCTCAGCTCAGATTCTGATTTAGGTTCACCAACAACAAACAGCGAGTTTTAAACCTTACCTGTAGACATCATGACCAGTAAGAACATCCGGATCCACTTCGAGTCGCCCGTCGCTCCTCTTCCCTTCATCGCCCCTTTACTTCCCATCCTTCTAAACTTGAGCATTTACTGGCGTTTCTACTTCCTGTAATTAGTGGGCAAACCACTTCCTGATTTGCACCAGTCTCGTCAAAGTCTTTCTTTTCTCTAAGGAACTGTTGAGCACTTCTTCTGCTTTTGAGTCACGTTGAGCTGGAGACCATTTCACACCCAGATGTGTCAAAAGCTAGAACTGATGCAGACTTTAGTGTTTCTGTTACTGAAACAGCTCAGTCAGCCTCTATGGGGCTACTTTTAATGCTGGATTATGTGACTTTAATCTCCCACTGCTGTCACTCAGCATCTACACTCTAAAACTTCATTTGCAGAAAATCTAACAAATGTATTAAAGAATGTTTCTTTAAAATTTACTACAAAAGTAAATAATGGAATTGTGCATGGTAAGAAACCACCACAGAAGAAGACCGAACAGCTGCTGTTTAGGTAAAAAGAGCATCAGTGTCCTCCTGCGTCCCCTGGTGTTCACTTAGAGGAAAGGTGTTTGATAAACTACAAGAAAAGAACAGAAAGAGCAAAGATTAAAAAATAAATAGTAAAGAAATATAGAAGCAAATATGAAAACAAGCTAAAAGAGCTTCTGACAAAACAGATTATTTCCAGATGCTGATGCATAAATTCTGTATGAATGGTCTGCGTATGGTAACATAGAGCTGTCACCCACGTAAAACACAATTAGAGCTCTATGTTAGAACCTGATCATGTCATTGTTGTAAAAACATACATATATATTTATCACATTTGGATGACATTGTTTACATCCCTCCATGGTTGAGTCCTGAGGGTCCAGACAAGACCTTCCTCTCCCCATCGACCCTCTCCAGCTCATCCCGGGAGATCTCCAGGTGTTCTCAGGTCAGAGCGGATACATCATCTTTCCAGGGGGTATGTGTCTCAGTCCAGTGTCTGAATGTCCTCCAGAGGAAGGAGACCAGTAGGCATCCAAACCAGAGGGTTGAACCACCTGAGCTGACTCTGAGCTTCTATACGATGGAGCTCCTCATTGCAGCTGCTGGTATGCAATGGCCCCTGCTGAAATCTGATTGGCTCCTGAAGTGCACCTGTCCCGTCACTTATCTGTCCTTTGGAGATGATCAGATTATAGGTGGATGCAATCCCAAATTCAAACATGAGTGGCCCTATTGAGCTAAAGAACAAACTGGGTGTTTATTCACTCATCAACTTTAATCCGATCCCATTTGTAGCCATAAAAATTAAAACAACGCTAAAATATCTCAGAAGCTGTGTTTGTATTTGGTCTGTGTGACCTAAAGATGTAATAAAATTACATTAAGGTGTTTCAACATGGTGTGGGTGCTGAAATGTATCTGCCTTACCAAAATCAGGGATGCGTGTGAGGATGGTACACTAAAACTGGGACCCCCTAAATATTGTGGCCCCATTGTCAGAAAATTCTAGATCCACCACTGGAGGGGTTAAAAATACCAGTCATACCAGTCAGAAGTCTTTTGTTAAACTGGACTTATTATTATTTAACCATCAGTTGTTGGTCAGGTGTTATTTAACATCATAATAATTCATAAAAATCCTTCCACTTTTGATCATATTGAGATTAAAACTTGTTAACTAAATTATTTTCAGTGAAAATTCCAACAAAACAGAAATATTTCACTAAGCTGACTTTAATATCAGTGCATTGGTGCTTTAGGATAAACGTTGTTTAGAGACCCAAAGAGACAGTTGGGTGTTTGTGATGATATTTATTTTCTTTAACAAGTTAAATGTACAACAGGTGTCGGTTCAGATAAAAGTGGGAAGTAATGTGTCTGTCTTCTGTTTTAGAAAGGGCTAATAAGAAAATAACTAATAAACAGTCAGACTTCCAACGTATTTTCCAAAAAGCTGCTGGTTGATTACTTACCTCTGAGGAATATTTTATAAAAGTGGAATTATTTTAGTGAGATTGTGACGACAGCAGCAGCACAACTCTGGAGGTTTTAACCTGATGGTCACAGTAATCACAATAAAACTGAAGATAAAGTTGCTTTATTTGCAGATTATAAATCAGGGGTATTCAATTCCGGGCCCAGAGAGCAGGTATCTAGCAAGTTTTAGTTTTAACTCTGTTTCATCACACCTGTTTTCAATCCGCAGGCTTCTGCAGAGCCGATAAACTGCTGCACAGGTGATTGGACTGATGAATCAAGTGTGTTGGAGCAGAGAAACTACTAATACACAAATTTTTACAACAAAGACAACAAAGGCTTTAAAAACCCAAAAACTCAACCGTTGTGTGTCCTTGGAGTCTGTTTTGATGCATTGACCACAACATTTTTGGGGGCTTGTCCGGGATTTGAATCCTTCACTGGTTGCGTCTCTCACAAAGAAAAAGAAACAGGTGAGGTGTACTTGGTTCGATAAACCCACAGCAGGATTTAAAAACAAGTACACCTGTTCCATGGTCGACTTTTCACTTTAAAAGTCTACATTCCATTTAGTCAAGTCAACTTTATTTATGTAGCACTTTACAACAGCACAAAAGCTGACCAAAGTGCTGACAAGCCAAAACAAACAGAAGTTTCCTATAATGCTAAAAATAAGATAAAAGTTAATAAAAAAAGTAAAAACATGAGCAAAAAAAAAAAAACCCCAAACAAATCAAACTGACATAAAAGCTACTAAAACAGATGCATTCTCAAACTGAATGAAAAGCAGCTTAGAACAGATGAGTCTTTAAAAGTGATTTAAAACCTGACAGTGAAGAAACCGTCCTAATCTGGATTGGGAGTGTATTCCACAACCTTGGAGCTGCTACTGAGAAAGCTCTATCACCCCTGACATTCTCTTCGTTCTCAGCACCTTCAGGAGAAACTGGTCAACTGACCTCACTGACCGAGACGGGGAGTGAGCAACTAAAAGTTCACACAGATACTGCGGAGCAAGGCCATGTACAGCTTTAAACGCCAATCAAAGAACCTTGTACTGGACCCTAAAACCAACAGGCAGCCAGTGCAGCGAAGCTAAAATTGGGGTGATGTGCCCCCTCTTTCTTGAACCCGTCAATAGGCGTGCAGCTGCATTTTGCACCATTTGAAGACGGGAGAGGTGAGACTGAGGGAGACCAAGGTACAGTGAGTTGTAATAGTCAAGGCGTGATGTAATAAACGCGTGAATCACCGTCTCAAAGTCATGGATTGAGAGCAGATGCTTAACCTTGGCTATCCTCCTTAACTGATAAAAACTAGCTTTGGTTATGGCACTGATTTGCTTTTCCAGAAGCAAATCACTGTCAAGCCGGACTCCCAGATTGGTCGCTGTAGGCTCCAAAAATAGGGCCAGTGGACCATGGCCAGCTGAACACGGCCCACTGGACACACTGGTACCAAAAGCATGACCTCAGTCTTGTCATTATTAAAGTGTAAAAAATTTGCAGACATCCAGGTTTTAACCTCATCGAGGCAGTTTAGAAGAGGATCTAATGAATTGGGTAGGGAAGAAATACACTCCTCAATGTCAAATGGCTTCATTGACAAGGATGAAGGAGCCCTGCGGCGACATATAAAGCTGAGTGAGCAGAAGCTAACGACAGCGTGAAGCAGCAGCATGGGCTGAAGACCAAAGCTAAGCAATGCGATAAAATAGGTAAATAAATGCAGCGCGGCTTAGCATGCATACTGACAATGTGACCATTACATTAGCTTAACAAGCAGGTGAAGACTTACAGATGCAAGTCGAACAGTAGCATGGATAGACAGCAGTGTGATGGTTGAGCAGCAGCAATCCAAATGAGAAGCAGCAGTATGTACAGTGAGGGATAGTCACATGTACGTGACTTCAGACACATACCTGAATACAGTGATCCCTCGTTTATTGCGGTAGATGCGTTCCAGACCTGGCCGCGATAGGTGAAAATCCGCGAAGTAGGGACACCATATTTACAGTATTTATTTAACAGGTACGTACACTATTCAGACTTTTAAAACCCTCCCTTTACATAGTACTGTTAACAAACCACCCTTTAATGTACACTTTATGATGAAATTGATGAAAAAACCCAGGAATTTCTTGATATTTCACATAGAAAAAAACTGCAAATTGGTCAAAAATAACGCGAATCGGCGAATTTCCCTTGAATAAGGCTCCAAAGAAAAAATCTGCGAAGTCGTGAATCCGCGATAAACGAACCGCGAAGTAGCGAGGGATCACTGTACACCTTTTTCCATCGAGGCTTGATCGCAGCACACCCTAGTGGCCAGTGGTGACCTCTGCAGGTAGGTCAGGTTTAATGGGAATATAAACCTGGGCGTTGTCTGCATATAGATGAAAAGAACATCCATGTTTCATAAAAATAGAACCCAGAGGTAGCAAATTAAGGGAGAACAACAGGCCCAGCACCAATCCTTGAAAACCCCTGCATACGAGAGGCGAGCGAGATCATGTGAAGCCACCCAATGATACACAAAAACACACAGATCATTCCATTCCATTTAGAAGTCATGCTAGTCCCCTAACAGCTAGTATGTTCCTCTGTAGAAAAGGAAAGCAGCCCTTGTTCCTGTTCCTTTCTTTGTCTTTAGGTTCAAAATCGGCGCAATAAATATAAAATGATCAACATGTCTAAACATCATCATCATGAGTTATAAGGAGAAACAGGAAAATAATTGTGTCATAAAACAAACGCCCCCAATGGCTGATTCCAGAACAATATTTAAGTCCCACCCCTTTTGTAAAGAAGTCCTGCCCCTTTGTGTAAACCAATGAGGCACTTTCCTGCCTCTGAAACCTAGGCATTCATACAGTAGCTGCTGCGTGTTGAAATATTTTCCCCCAATATGTTTGGATGTAAATTGATGCTTGAAAAGTGTTCAAGTGAGTTTGTTGGAAATTTATCCCAACTTCCTAAAGGCTCGGATTCATTATCCCCAAAATCCAGCAACATGGCAGTGCCTGTAAACAGCTTCGTTTCTTTACATCTGAATTTTTCCCCCATCAGCGACTCTTTAATGGTTTAAACAAAACAACCATAAAAATTCTGCCACTGTCTGAAGCCCAAATGAACGAATATTCCAGCTAAATTCTGCAGATTAGCTCAAAGATGGAATAAATGAAGTTGAGCTAAAATCTGATGACCGATGTGTGGAGTCAGCTGGAGGCAGGAGGGTCAAACGCTGGATGTTCTGATGTTTTCATAGTCAGCTGCACCATCGGCCCCATCATCACACACCTGAACAGCACAACACAATCACACTGATGAGTTCAATCAGACACGTCACCAACAGCTGGATCCCAGTCTGAGGACACTATAATGTTTTTTCCCATGTCTATTTTTGTATGATATAAAATCTGCCTGTTGTCTTTTCAACCACTAGATGGATTATGATGAAATTATACAAAAACATTAATTATGTTTACAATTAAATCACCTTTGGAGTCAAAATTCAAGATGGCTGCCATGGCTGACCATCCATCAAACACAAAAAGTCTAAAACATGAACAATTCTACAGATTTTGAGTAAAACGGATGCTGAGAGTCATTGATAATCATAGTTCAAGAGATCATAGAGGAGGAAAAAGCTCACATGCTCCAGGAGAGAATGCTATTTTCTAGATTTGACCAACTTTATTATTTCTCAGCAGGATCTAAAGGTCTGACGGTAAAGAAAGCAGCCGAGTTTTGACTTTTATGATCAGATTTTTTTTTAACATTTTGACGATAAATCTAGACTCACCATGCCTGAGTCCGTCTGCGTTTTCCTCCCTAAAAACAAAAAGAAACCTTGAGTGCTGATGTAATTCCTCTCCTCTCAGCAGACGTTCATGTATAGATGAGAACATCTCACCTTTAGCTCTGGTCCGTCTGCTGGTGACGACGACACCTGCTGTCAGCGCGGCTAAACCCACAGAACCAATCAGGAACCTGAGCCAGACTGATCAGATTTGTGATGTTAAACAGGAGAAACCGTCAGAAAAATTGTCAAACGGATCAGCGTCCTCCTGCAGCATCCTGGACCGTGTCGTGGGTTCACCTGCTGTGCAGCTGGGTCCAGGTGTTGGTGGAGATCCACCTGCAGACTCCGTCGTGTCGGTTTTCCCTCCTGATGTAACCATTGATGTTGTTGTTGGAGGAGAAAAATAAATCATAAGTTGTTTTTTACCATCAGTGAAACATTTGACTTCTAGATCTCTGAAACCAGGTTGTTGTGGTTTCTCACCTGTTGGACCAGAGCTGAAGGTAAAAAGCTGCTGTTTGTTTTCTGTCTCTACTTCACATATGAATAACTTAAACCTTGATGAGTAAACGTAGGTGGAGGTCTGAAAGGTCACAGCAGCAGAGCAGGAAGATGGAGATGATGTCTTTATATCAGGATGATCTTTCTCCACATCGTTACCCTTAAACAACCACTTCACTTTACGTCTGCATTCATCGTACGGCGACACAGAGCAGGTGAACGTCACCTTGTTCTGCTCTGTTTGTTCTCTCACTGAGGACGGATGGAGAGAGAAAAAGTAAACATGATTATATTTATATTTGTGATCGTTTTGTTGTGAAACATGTGTGTGAACACTCACGGGTAACAACAGAGAGGTAAACAGGAGCATCACGACGTGATGTACTACCTCCTTCTATTTCATACTGTCTGCAGGTGTATAAACCAGCATCCTCAGCTGAGATGTTCCTCAGAACCAGAGAACAGTTTCCTGCTAGACTCAGTGGGTCTGATCTGCTGTATTTAACCTGGCCGTGATCAACCAGCTCTTGTGCTGCTCTTCCTAGTTTATTGTAGTTCCAGGTGGTGGTGTTACAGTTTCTGTTACCTTTAATCACATTTTCACAAGACAAAGTGACGTCATCTCCAGCTCTGATGGTGTAGAGAAGATCTTCACAAACGACTCCTGAGAGAATGATGGAGAACCAGAGGTGTTTATAGAGATTTAAAACGTTATTAAACCCTAACCCTACAGAAGCACCTGATGCTCTGGCTGTCAGGAATTTTCTCAGCTCAGATTCTGATTTAGGTTCACCAACAACAAACAGCGAGTTTTAAACCTTACCTGTAGACATCATGACCAGTAAGAACATTCGGATCCACTTCGAGTCGCCCGTCGCTCCTCTTCCCTTCATCGCCCCTTTACTTCCCATCCTTCTAAACTTGAGCATTTACTGGCGTTTCTACTTCCTGTAATTAGTGGGCGAACCACTTCCCTTGTCAAAGTCTTTCTTTTCTCTAAGGAACTGTTGAGCACTTCTTCTGCTTTTGAGTCACGTTGAGCTGGAGACCATTTCACACCCAGATGTGTCAAAAGCTAGAACTGATGCAGACTTTAGTGCTTCTGTTACTGAAACAGCTCAGTCAGCCTCTATGGGGCTACTTTTAATGCTGGATTATGTGACTTTAATCTCCCACTGCTGTCACTCAGCATCTACACTCTAAAACTTCATTTGCAGAAAATCTAACAAATGTATTAAAGAATGTTTCTTTAAAATTTACTACAAAAGTAAATAATGGAATTGTCCATGGTTAGAAACCACCACAGAAGAAGACTGAACAGCTACTGTTTAGGTAAAAAGAGCATCAGTGCCCTCCTGCGCCCCCTGGTGTTCACTTAGAGGAAAGGTGTTTGATAAACTTTTTTTAATTTATTTTTTTTATTAGAGAAGATAACATACAAACAAAATGCACCTTACATTATATATTCAAAAGATAACCATTACATTCATATTAAACATTTTCACGTATATGAAAAAAAACAATAAAAAAAAAAGAAAATCTAAAGATGGGGTCACATAATTAACAGATTATTAACTTACCAACTCAAAATCTTCTACAAAGGATAAAACAAACTAGCCTTTTTCTTTTTAACTAAATTCAAAGATTTAACTAATAATTTTAAGTCGTTTTTCCAATAGGCTAGTGTTGGTTTGGTCTTAAAAAAATCGACATTTATGTATAAATTGTTTACACAGAATTAATAACACATTAACACCATAACTAACTTTCTTTTCTTTCAAAAACACTCCAAACATTATCATATTTAAGGTAAATGGGGCAATTTGAGTCCCACTAGAACAAAGCCAGGCATGAAAATCTAACCAAAATATTTGTATAAAATTGCACAAAAAAATAGATGGTCTAAGTCCTCCTCTTCTGTTTCACAAAATACACAATTACCAGCTTCTATATTGAATCTATCCCCAAGGAGTCTATTGGTTGGGTAAATTTTATTCAAAATTTTAAATTGGACTTCTTTCCCTTTAGGAGCGATAGGGAAGGTGATATAATCACTTCTTATTTTTTCTATTTCTTCCCTTTGGAAATCTTTTAATATGTAATTACGTCTAAGTAAATTTGGATAAAAAAGATTCCTTAATGAAGATCTTAGAAACTTATTATTGCATTTATCATCACAAAATCGAATATCTTCTATATATAGTTGTCTTAACCTGGGGGAGATGCCAGAATATATTATATCATTTACAACTATGTTTTTAAGTGACAGTGGAATTGATCTTATAACCCGATTAAATTTATTCTTAGAACATTGGACATTAACCTTTTGGCAAAAATCTTGATGTTCAACATGTCCTTCATTATCTACAAAATGGGGAATTTCCCAAACACCTTTGGAAAACCAATCTAGGATAAAAATAGATTTTCTGTTCATTAGGATATATCTATTGTTCCAAATTGGGCTATTATGTGGAGTGAAGTTATGTTTAAATAACATTTTCCAATAAAGAAGGACCTGTTTATGAAATGCAGAGAGTTTAATAGGTAGCCTAGTAATTTCAAAGTCACATTTTAGAAGAAAATCGATACCTCCCAGTTTGTTAAAGACCTTACTTGGTATAGAAAACCAGATGGAGTGTGGATTATTTAGGAAGGATTATAAGCATTTCACTTTCAAAACATCATTCATTACATCAAAGTCGATTGCGTTTCCACCACCTTCAATGTATGGTTTAACCAAATCATCTTTAGCTATATAATGGCATTTATTTCTCCAAATAAAGTTACAATTTAAGCTATTAATTGTTTTAATGATTTTATTTGATATTGATAAAGAATAAGCTGGATATATAAATCTAGATAAACTATCCATTTTGGTTAATAATATTCTTCCAAAAATTGTGATGTCTCTTTGTAACCAGTTATTTAAGATTGCCTTACATTTGTCAACATTATCTGAAATATTTACTTTTTCTAAGACTTTGTGATCTTTTGAAATTGTGATGCCCAAATATTTTACCTCCTTATTCACCTGTATATCGTACAAAAACTGTGACTGACATTCCTTTAACGCCAATAGTTCACATTTATTTAAATTTAATTTTAAGCCTGAAGCTTTTGAGAATGCAGTTATTATTTGTTTTACTAGGGGAATTTGATGTTCATTTTTTAAGAAAAGAGTAGTGTCATCTGCAAGTTGACTAATTATTAACGAATTATCCATAATCTCAATTCCGGCCACATTGCTATTTTTAATTAGAATTGCGAGCATCTCCACAACCATTATGAATAACAGCGGAGAGCTTCCACATCCTTGTCTAATTCCTCTTTTAATGCTAAATCTTTTACCAGTGCCATGGCCTAACGACACAGAGCTATTTATATCATTATGTAGTATATCTATTATCTTCCTAAATTTATTCCCAAATCCAAATCGAGTTAGTGTTTCTAAAATAAAAGGATGTTCTACTGAATCGAAAGCTTTATAAAAGTCCAAGAAAAGAATAAAACTGTCATCACTAATTAGATCATTGTAGTCCAGTAAGTCTACAACCAATCTGATATTATTATGAATCTTCCTGTCTTTCAAAAACCCTGATTGTGTCTCACTAATTATACTTGAAACCCCTTGTTTAAGCCTTGTTGCAATTGAGCTAGAGAAAATTTTATAATCTGTATTTAGTAAAGTTATGGGCCTTAAGTTATCCAATTGTCGCTTATCTTTGGTTGGTTTAGGAATTAATGTAATTAATCCTTGTTTCATGCTAGACATCAATTCTCCCTTTTCAATACTGGCCAGTATAGCTTTGAATAAGATTTCCCTTAAGTCTTCCCAAAATAATTGGAAGAAATTAACTGTAAGCCCATCTGGACCAGGGGATTTATTAAGCGCCGTTTTCTTAACCGATGCATCTAATTCTTCAATTGTAAGGTCATATTCACAAATTTCCTTCAATGATTCATTAATTTTAGGGATCAGATTATCTATTTGATCAAAAAAGGCATCACAGTCTGCTTGGGAGAATTATGAGGAGTATAAATTAGAATAGAATGTATAAGTTTCGTTTTCCAAGATTTTAGGGTCGTCACATTCAATACCATCAATTAACAGGGAAGATATAAGATTTTTTTTCTGTCTGCTCTTTTCTAAATTAAAAAAATATGAGGAATTTTTTTCCCCCTCCTCTATCCATTTAGCGCGTGAACGCACAAAAGCTCCTTCTGCTTTATTTAAGTAGAGCTGATCTAATTTAGTTTGCAACTCCATAAGTTTACTTTTTTCTTGGCAATCTAGATCATCCTTACTACAGTAATAAGTAATTTCTTGGAATAATTTACATTCATATTCTCTTTGCCTTCGACTTATGTTTTTACTGAATTGAGTAGTAAATTCTCTAATCTTGAATTTAATGAATTCCCATTTACTGATATATCCTACAATTAAACGGTCAGCCATAATATCTTTTATAATTTTTTTGACTATGTTGCAGTAATCTTCAATTTGTAAAAGTTTGGCATTGAACTTCCAATAAGTTCTTTTATTTGATTGTCTAATTTCCGATTTTAAGCATAGTTCAATAAAGCAATGATCAGAAAGAGGTGCATTTGACATCACAGCATTTACAGTGTGGTTAAGAATGTTGCCACTTCCTAGCCAATAGTCTATTCTAGATTTACAAGTTCCATTTGGCTTAAACCAGGAAAAACTTTTAATTTCTGTATTTCTTACTCTCCAAATATCTGTCAAATTGTTGTTTATCAAAAATTCTATAATTAGGTTATTGCTTTGTGGTCTACCTGTCCTTGAGGGCCATCTATCAGTCCATTCATCAGGAGTCATATTCCAATCACCACCCATTAAAATATATTCCATAAGGTATCGATCTTTAAGTTCAGAAATATTTAAAGTTATATCTTCTAACATATTTTTATTCTGACTTTCATTGTTATATCCGTAAACATGAACTAAAATGAAAAACAAACTTTCAACTCTCATTACAGCGATCAACCAATGACCATTCAAGTCAGTTCGTTGTATTACAAGATCCCCAGGAAAGTTATTGAATAAAATTGCTACATCCCCCGACCTTGTTGAGCCATGGCTAAACAAGATGTTGCTGCCCCATTGGCTTGACCAAAAAGATACATCACTATCAGATGAATGAGTCTCTTGTAGGAAAATACAGTTTGATTTTTTACCTTTGCAGTACAAAAATAAGGCTTTTCTTTTAACAGATTCTCTTAAACCCCTAACATTTAAAGAACCAAAACAAATGTTAACATTCAACATGAACTATAGATAGAATATCACTCACCACGTGAAAAAGATGAGAAAGAAGAAAAATACTAAATGCTGAGCTCCTCAGACCGCTAACAAGTTTCCACTATTTCAGTTTTTGTCATTTTTAGTTCTCCTATGTGTCCTCAACTTTGCGTCCATCAATGAAGGCATGTAGACCACGAAAGTAGGCTTGTTTACCCGCACGTCTTGCCTTCTCCACCAGAGGCCATAGGCGCTGTCGATCTTGTATGTCCTCCTGCGGCAACATCTCTGCGAAGCTGATGCGTTCTTGTTTGCAGATTGAAGAATCTTTGGTGCGCCTCCACAGTTCTTATTTAATTCGCCTTTGTGTGAATAAAATAATGCTGTTTCTGTTTCTGCCATCAACTCGTTTCCCTAAGCGATGAACCTCATCAACGGCCTCTTCTAAGTTCAAGTCAGGGGCAATCTTCCGAAGCGTTTGCAAAACCTTCACTCTAATGTTTTCGTCGTTGTCTTCCTTCACCCCTTTTAGCTTTAAGCACCACCTCATTCGGTAGCGCTTTTGTTCTCTCACTCTTCTTTTTAAGTCTTCATTTTCTTTAAGCAGCTGTTCATTCGCATTTGACAGATTAACAACTTTCAGTTTGC